AATAATAATAATAATCCGAGCAGTTCCAATAGGGTCTTCGCACCTTTTTGGGTGCTCGGACCCTAATTATAACCTGCAGCGGTGCGAGGTCAAGTCACATAGAATCAGCTCCTTTATTAAGTACAGCAAGTTGAGGCATTTGCACAGGAAATCAACATCTTTTGAACACATAATACAGGGTGGCATAATATGCATAAAAGTACCAGGAATATACTCATATGCAAGTGTCTTTAGTGTTCTTTCAGTGAAATGAGCTCTAATACAGAGCCAGATACAGTGTACAGTCTACGTTTTCGCATTAGTCAGAACTCATATACCATTTCTTTCATTGTTCCACTGTCCCGAGAGGGGCGTTAGAGGTCCTGGATTAAAGTGGAAGTGCCTCCGTTTGTTGTTGTTTTGTTTTTTTTCCGAGTTCAGGAATGGGCACAGTGTAAACAGGGCAGTCACTCGTTCTGCGTGGAATGTTCGCTCGGTAAACCGTAGCTCCTCCTCCTCCTCCTCCTCCTTGAACCCTCGCGTCGCTTCGGCCTTCCTGAAGCCGCCCGGAAGTCGCGGCGCGTCGCTCCCTCTTCTTTTTTTTTTTGCCACGAGGAGTCGTCTCCAACTGTCCCGAGAAAAGATTCATCATCCGCCAAAAAGGAAACCAAAAAAAAAAGTGCACAGGAGTAGAGGACGGGAGCAGGACGAGTCGGCAGAGAGGGATAGTGGCTCTTCCTCAGCAGGTAGGAGGGGCTTATATATTGATTGACATGGGGGAAGAACCTCTACACAGATTCTGTAGGGCCGGTGGGTAGGGGGGGGGCTTATAGTATCCGAGGGTATTGCGAAGGACGGGGCAGGAGTTTGGGAGGTGGGGGCGATACAGCGCAGTGCTAAGTTCAGGTGTAGCGTGGCATCTCGCACTGTTCACAGCGGTTGAGTGCAGGGTGGTTGAGGAAGGTGCAGCTTTCACAGTTCCATTGAGCTCCTTCAAAGTCCTCGTCCCTCTGGGGGGCCGGCGCTGGCTTGGAGGCCTGCTCGCCTTCTGGGAAAGAAAAAAAAACAGGACCGTTCATTCAAAGCGCAGACACGCCAACTGTTAAAGTGTCATCAGCTCAGGGCAGGAATTAAGCACGGCTGTCCCTCAGCGGACACAAGCATTCAACCTTCGGCCATTCAAGTATAAATGTTGACAGACGTTCGCTAAATAGCAAGGTATCTCCCCTAGTTTCCATGCCAACAGAGCTATGGAGGCCAACACACACACACAGTGAAGTCAGTTAAGCTTTTAGTCTTGGTTTTCAAAGCAAAATGTCCCAAATCTTCAATGTGCTGGAAGCCAAATAAGAAAAATATGAGAGAGAAGGATCTGGACGTTCTCTCGCCGAAACTCAAATCTGTATCTTGGCAACAGGATTAATGTGAGATTCCGCCCCTCAGAACACGTATTCTTGTCTTATTTACACATCCCTTGTAAAAACTTTCGTGTCCTGGATTCTCTCACCTTTCTTCCCGGTTTTGGGCGGCACCACCGGGCCGGGCTGAATGTTGTCGTAGAAGTTGTTCATCGCTTTGGGGTCGAACTTCCCTGAGGAGGAAAAGCAGAAATCAGATACACGAGTTTAATTAGTTTGTTCAGCAGCGCCAACTCCGATATCCAAACAGCGCTGCCTCCGGTCGCTCTCTTCGGGCCTCCTGACTGACTAATGCGGCTTTCAGGGTCCAAAGAAGAAAGTGAGGTCAAACAAGTTGAATCCTGCTCAGTTTTTTATTTATTTATTTTTGCAGCAATCTAACGAATGCCGGCCGATCAAACACACGCACAAGGACTCCTGTTCGTCTGGTCTTAAACATGAACTGAGGGAGTGTAAAATAATCATTTGCTGCACTCTTGTAGAATTACAACTTGCTTTGCAGTGTTTTGACATCTAAAAAGCTCCTAAATTCATGCATCCATTACTCCCGCTGACCACTCTGGGTTGTATTTCATGCTCAAACTTGGACCTGAAACCACAAACTCGAAGCCACGGTGCCGTTTTTAATGCGGCATCTTTTAACACATTCGCAGATTTTCGCCGGGAGACGGAACCTCGTTAATCGGCCACGTCGTCGCACGGACACGAGAAACGCATTTTTAAGTGAAGCGCAGCATGAAATGAGGCAGTAAAAGCTGAGTGTTAATACAGCCGCGGAGACGCCGTTTCCGAATCAGATTTACGACAGTTATCAACGTGGGATTTCAACTGTCTCCTCAGAGCAGTGTTTCACATTAAAAAAAAAACAGAAATACATTCCAAACAGCTTCAGGCTTTGGCTGGTCAGATGTTTACTTCATTGATAGATTTTTACAACTGGAGGGAATTTCATGCGAGTAAACTTCCCCCTGCGAGCTCAATAAACTGCTTTGTGAGCGTATGAAAGAAGTGCTCCGAGAGGCACACAAAAACCTTTCACGCAAATTATGCAATTACACGGGCCGTTTGTCACCAAAGACCACAATTAACACCAGTTTTCTGAGGCCTCTTACAGTATCTGACCGGTTCTCTGTTCACTCCCAACGACTGAATCTGCCCGTTCACCAAAAAACATATTTAGAAAAATAATAATAATAATGAAGTTGAAAGAATATCTGTATACAAATAACAAGAAGAGTAATAAACAGTCATGCACTTATATGATTTTCACAACTGGAGAAGGAGAATATAAGCAACTAACTTTTCTGCTTTTTTATCTGCAAGTGGCAACGACTAAAAACGAACACTTCGGCACCAAGACAATGGTAAAATTCTGTCAACATCATGCCAGTTTTTGTTCATCTTTTGGTACTAAAAGTGCCACAGATGCTCTCTGTAGTGGAGATACCAGAAAGTTTACATCCACTGTAAAAAAAAAAAAGACATAAAACCTTTTTTTTTTCTCACTGTCTGACATTAAATCCGACCAAACTTTTCCTGTGTCCTGTGTGTTTCTGTGGTTTTTCTAGGTAACGCTGACGTTGAATTACAACATCAGGTGTGAAATCTTTTTCTTGGTAATCATTGAATTTAACAGAACTGGTACAGATAACTGAATTCCTGGTATTGTGACGCCCAGCGCTGCAGATTAACTTCTCAATCGATGCCATCGAAACTAAACGCGGTGAGTAAAACCAGCGGTTCAGCTCTCAGAGGAAATGCACCTACTGCTGCTTACACACAGAAGAAGACTGATCTAACAACACCAACCTTTGGCTTTTTGGCTATTTTTGCACAACATCCTGATCAAATCTAGGGCTGCCAGTGACTGTATGTGATTGTTAATTTTCCTCCAGAAAAGCAAAATGACCATTTAATTTCATTGTATTTTGCCAAACTACATGTCCCTGTATAATGCAGCACAGAACAAAAAAAAAAAGGTTTACATATTCGAGTGCAAAACTGTGGAGTGAAACTGGAAACTCCCACAAACCCAACTTTCTATTCAACCCCTTAAAGTGAAAAAGTCAGTTGCTATTTCTTACTCATCCTGTTGTCTGATAGCAGAAACAGAAAATACGTCAGTCAGAACAGCTAAACCAGGAATTCAGCTTTATTAACACCAGTGAGCACAGAGAGCAGGAGAGACGCCAACAGACGTAAAGCACTTCCTGTCTTTTCTGTTCAGGAGTTTTTCCTGCGCCGCTGTGATCGGCCAATAAACCTCCTCAGTAAAGACAGTCTTCAATTTCTGAAGCCTGGAAGACTTCTGAAGACTCATTAAACTGAGTCGAACTCCAGCTGTTACGATTAAACTACGAGAGTAACCACGACCTGGATTGACTGAGAAGCTTCACAGACGTGCCACCATCGTCTGAAACTGAAACTCAAATAACTGGCGCCAAAGATGACTCAATACGGAACAACGACACAGCGATACCAAAGAAAATCGATTGTTGGAATAAACTGAAGTAAAAAAGAAAAAGAAAACATGCATCAACAAGAAATACTGACGCACTTTGAGCGACTAATCGCAGCATTTTGCATTAACAGAAACAGCAAATGTACCATCAAGCATTAGACTCTTGGGATTTTCTCTGCAGCCACCGTGTACAGCTCGTAAAGGTAGAGGGTCAGAAAAACACAGCAAAATACTAACAAATCCCAGACGAGACCCAGCTACAGTCTGCAAGATAACTGTGACTTCAGAGGGGGTTTATTTTCAGGAGGACCGATGCTCAGTGGCGTCGGGCTGATTGTAAGTAAATTGGTCACACTGTGGCGCCCGCTGCCAACATCACCACTCCTGGTAAACAGATAACGGATTGCAACTAATTTCCACGCGCCGCGGTTAGGATAAATGTTTTTTTTTTTTATCAATTATGTAATCAACAAGCAGCCAAACACTGTGCACACACCACAGCGAGGGTCAAGCAGGGATCGGACCGGGTCCCGCTACGGACCGGCGGCTCGTTTTCGAACGGCGCATCTGTATGCGGCGTGGTGGATCCACATCCATCATTTTGGACCCAACTCTGTCTGCTTCGGGGCTTGGCTCTTTCAAGATCAATGCTTTCAAATAAATCAGAGACACACTTCAAAGGTTTGTGTAGGAATGTGCGTTTGTGTGTGAGATGCATGTGTGTGTGTGTGTGTGTGTATACCTCGAGACTGCAGCAGATCTGTCTCCTTCAGTGTACAGTCGATATCAATCTGCAGCTGTCTGTTCAGACTCCGCAGCCTGGTCATCTCTTCGGGCTGCAAACACACAACTCGGTTGGGTTAGACAAAAACAAACAGCTCCACAGTCGCCATCCTCCCTTTGGGATTTCTCATGAGTGAAATGAAACTGTTTGTACCATCACTTCTTGCAGTAAACAGGTCATTTTGCATCATACTGCTGGACGAAGTTCAGTGTGGCTGTTTGTACGTTCACTACATCCAGAGCCTGATTCAATCTTTGACTGATATTTACAATGTGGAGTCTAAAATATTAAACATTCTGTCAGCAAGTTAAAAAAAAAAAAAAGGATTTAAGATGTAAACAAAGTTGAGTTCTTACTCGGGGTATAAGACTGGTGGAGTTGACTCGTCGGAAGCGTCTTTGCAGAGCGTCGTATTCCATGTTGTTGACGTCGGCCTTCAGCTGCTCCAGTTTCTGCTTCTCCATCAGCAGCTCCTTCATTAGTCGCTCCATCCTCGCCCGCTGGTGGAGCAAGAGAGCTGCAGGGAAAACACAGCCAACATCAAGTGTGTGAATTTCAGGAGTAAAAAAATAAATAAAAAACTAAACTTAACGAGAAGATGTTGCTCACTTTATTTGCTCTGCTGCTACCTAACACAAATATCGAAGCTCAAAGCCCTGGCATCAAGGTTGGACAGACTAACAAACACATGAAAGACACTGAAAAGAAAGCAACACTGACAAATCATGAAAAGACCAACAGCTTTCAGTATAGCCAGTTGCAAAAAAATGCAGACATTCCCCAGTTTTAAATTAGGTTGGAAGCCAGAATACTGAAAGAAGACGAGCAAACACATAGTAGAATAAATGACAGAATTTACAGCGAGGGAAAAACGAACAAACACGGCAAAAAGATGGCAGTTAAACAAAACAGAATGCTGGTTATTTAACATTTATTTGCCACTTATATGTCGTAGATACAAATGTCAGTGTTAAAGTAAAGAAGTTTGTAGATTACTGCAGGCTGTTACAGCAGTAATACCCGGTGTCCCTGATGTCAAAAACATGCAGAATAAAGACGGATATGTTGCTGGATTATATTCAAATCAATGGTGTGTGAGACTTTCAGTATTTGCAAATGTCACTTTGCATTTCGCTGCACAACCGGTATGAGCATGTGACAAAAAGAAACACACATAAATCTTGATAATTAAATGTTAATGCACTTTTTAATATGAACACGGGGTAATGAAGTTCCAACACACAGCATCTGTGACACAAGGAGTTAATGAGGTTGTCGATACTGCTAGCTGAATTTCGTTCCGCTCTTTCTTAAGTTGGCAGCTTTTCCCGGGACGGGATGATGCTGTCGGACACTTAGAGCACCATGTGGCAGATTGTTGGTGATGAAACGCCGTCTGAATCGATTTCTTAGACGACAAATAGTGAATTTGTGTCTGGCTGACCTGTCATTTGAATGAAGCTGCATTTTAATGTGAACTTTTATAGTCACTCATCAAAGGAGTGTTTGTGTGCAGGTCACGCCATCTGATCATTGTCCCTGAAAGACACACCTGACGAGGGAGTGGAGCTACTCAGCCGGTGAGCATTTGTCACCAGTTTAACAGCTCAACAAGTTTTGGTGCACAGTTGGTGAAATTTAACCCTTTCCTAACCTCAAAAACAGAAAATAGACCTATAACTTTTTTCAAACGCAGAAAAGAAAATCATTTTAAACCGTACACATCTGAGAAGTAAAATGCAAGAATTTGTTGTGAATTTGGTCTAAAATCAGTTTTATTTGTGACTCTGTAGATGCACTCAGTAAACACGGCGGGTGTTACAAGAAACGAATGCACACGGCTGCAATCCAGCTCAGGATTTTGTGGTTATTTGGCACTTATCTGAATCAGCTCGACACAACATGATCATCAGATTCTAAGATAATGAGCAGCTCGACAGTTGTTTCATGAAAAAGAGCAAGAAGTCAAACGTCTCGCTGTTATTCTCAGAACTAAAGGCTGGAACTAGACAGCCTTGAACACACTCTATCCACACACATGACAGATAAACTAAGAGAAAACAAAAGTCTTACCTTGTGTGTAGGCATAGTCATCAGAGCCTGAGCTTGAACGCCGGGGCATCTGCTGCAACTGACTGGCGACGTTTCCTGGCAGAGCGGAGATGGGCAGGATGGGTGCCGGGGCAGAGTTGCGCTCCCCCTGGTCGACTATGTTGAGAAGAGACTCTGCTTCGGCCACAGGAGGCGAGCTTAGCGGCCTCTGAGCCTGACCTCCAGGCGATACTTTGATTTTGAAGGTGTAGGCCGACTGGGCCGACTGGCCCGGCTGAGGGGAGGAGGCGGGTCGAGGCCTCGTGGGGCCCTGGTGCTGCAGGTACATCCCAGGGTGGAACGCCGCCGGTCCCTGAGGTCCGGTCATTGTGACGCCCCTTGACGGGGAGCTGGGCGACGGGCTGGTGGCCATGTAAAGGCCCTGTGGGTGTGCAGTGTGCACGGGTGAGTTGCTGCGAGGTCGCGGACCCTCCAGGGTGATTTCTATCTGGTTCATGAGCGAGCTTTTTGTGTGGTAGGGCCTGTAAACAGCCGGCTGTTGCTGCGGTTGCTGCTGGTGATGGTAGGGCATGCTGGGAAGGGTGGGGGAGCTAATAGGGAGGAAGACATATTGCTGGTGCTGGGGCTGGTGCTGGGGCTGGTGCTGGGGCTGCGGCTGGGGTTGAGGTTGGGGCTGCGGCTGGACCTGATGTTGTGGGGAGCTGTAAGGCGAGCCATACGTGGGAGTGCTGTAGGGGGACTGCTGATGCTGATAGACGGGCGCCCCCGAGGAGGACCAGGGGGCCGGCTGTGGGCTCTGAGAGGGTGACGGTCGGATGTACAGGGTGGTGTTGGAGCTGTTAGCGTAGTGCCCCGGAGGGATCTGCAGAGCCTGTGGGACATTGGGTATACTTTGCGACGACAGAGTGACGGTTATTGGGTTCATAGTGTAGCGCTGGACCGGGGAGTATGTGGGAGACATGCCCTGCATTGTGGGTGGGGGGGTGGGAGTGCTGGCCGAGCGGCTCTGATCGTTCATAAAGAAGGGATTGTATCCGGGGGAGGGGGCTATGGTGGCGGGAGCTGACAGCGGCTCCGGGTAACTGGGCCGCTGGGGTTCGATGTGACTGTCACTGGTGCTGTGCACGAGGGAGCGACCTACTCCCGCCGCTCCACCATTGGATTTGCTCGCCTCCGAGCCTTGGTAGCCCAGACTGATGTGGAGCATGTGGTTTCGGCTCAGCCGCCCCTCCTCTGGACTGTGATGGAAGTCTCCATACAGGTATCTGTTACTCTCCTGAGCCAGCAGGTGGCAGCAGAGATCCAGATTATTGTTGTTCTGACAGGGCAACAGAAAACAGTCTATGAAGCCTTTTTCACACATAATACATGATATTGCTGCTTCCTCTGTTTGTTCAGATGACGGCACTCAGTCAGAGGTCACTATTCTGTTAATGTTCCTCACAGCTTCATTCAGACACCAAAGTGATGGAGAGAGTCCAAGTACATATGTGACATTTGTCATTCACTTGAGAACGAGGTGTATACTACATAATGATGCACTAATAAACAAAAGACTAAATCTAAACTAACAGAAGCTCATCAAACTGTCCAAATAACTAACTGCGTGGTTATTTATGGTTTCCTATTCACTGAAAATTATGTGTGATCATATTTAAACTGCTACTTTAAAAAAACAACAGCTGTGATGACGCTCAGGCCTCAACGTGAGGACGACCGCTGTGTAACCAAGGTTTTAACTGAAGCTGATATACTGTGACTCTGTGTGACAGCTCACCAGTCTGAGTTGAAAACAAGTTCACAGTGTGACCTGCTGTTAGATCCTGATCGATTCTGTCTCCTTGTCAGGATAATTTATCATTGTGAGTATTTCATGAAGTTCCCAGTGTTGTTGTTCCACTTATGTAAATGCAGAACTCTCTTGCTTTGGAGACGCTTATATGGATCCTGCTGCTGTTTGATGCTGCAGGTATTTAATGAAGTCACACGAAAAAGTCCAACAGAGAGCTGGAGGAAATAACCTAAACTTCAGCTTTCATTAAAGTCTTGTAGAAAAAACAAAATACATGTACATTTACAAGCGGGGAGTATCATTAATCCAAGCAACCAGTATCTGTTTTTACCGCAGTGAAGTTGTATTTTTATAAACATTTTAGTCTGTAGCACCTACAGATGTAAAATTTTACAACAAAGTAAATGGGAACGCTCTGTCTTTTGCACTTTGTGATATTTTTGGAGCAGTATTTTTGCTGAAATGTGGAAAAAGTCTTCTCTAAATCACTTCACACAGTTTAAGTGCTGCTTGTGTTGCATGCTGTTAAGATTTGTGCTGCGTTGAAAGTGATACAGAAATGTCACTTGGTCTGACTTAGTACGATTGCTGTTGCAACTTTTCTGCAGAAGTGACCATGGTGGCCATTTAGATATAAAACCAATACATGCAATTGCTGTAATGGAAAGGAGTGCATTTCTGAAAGGGGCTGATGAATCATCCTGTCAACTTAATATCCAGATCATCATAGGAGACTAAATAAATCAAGAATAAATGAGTGCAAACTTATTATGATATCATAAAATGTCAAGTTTCTCAACAAGTGAACATCACAGATTTTTCCAACAACTTTTCTGAGCATATGCATGAATGCATCAGCACCGTGTGTGTCTGCATACCTGCAGAAGGCACTGGGACACTACCCCCTCTGGGATCTCTGGGAAACGCTGCTTGAGGTCCTGCAGGATGTGGTAGTCGAGCTGAGAGCCTCCCTGCGCCATCCTGAGCCAACACAGAGAGTCAACAAGCCCAAAGCTGCAAATGCCGAAATATCCGACCTCGTCTCATCCCCTGAAGATGCATAGACGACACACAAAACAGAGGACAAAACTAAAATGTCTGGGGAACTCTAACAATAATCCCACTAAGGCTGCTGGCCTGCCAAATGTCTGTCACACACACCCTATGTGTCAGCAGTAATCTCAGTGTACATGTCCCTGACCCAGTGTTTGTGAGGCTTGTCAGTCTGAGTTATCAGGAAGAAAACTATTTATCCATCAAGGTGAAACAGCTCCCATATCACACAGAAAGCGAAAGGACACACGTCAGTCATTTTCATTCACATTAGCACACCAGTGCTAGCTAGCAAGGTGCCTGTCAGTCTGTTGTTGTTTGTTTAGCCATACTGTTGCACCAAGCAACGACGACATACCGTCGCTAGCTAGCAGGCTAGTTACGAGCATCAGTTTGCCTCCGGTCATCGCTCAAATAAACAACCGCACTAGAAACAGCATCACTATCCCCAGGAGATTGTCCGACATCCCCTGTAACCAGTTCGGCAACTCCCAAACAAGTCACCTGTTCAAAGAAGATTAACTCAACTGCCTGCCAGCTAACTTTGCTAATGCTAACCTTAGCTTGGTGCTGCTCAGCTGTCACAGCCTGGGTGTTGATGGATTAGCGAGCTAACTATGCTAAAGCCAGTTCGCCACTAAAGGCTCCGCCAAACTCACCAAACGTCGGGAGTCTCCCTCATGTCCCAGACCGCAGCTGAGTCCCGGAGAGAGCCGCGATGTTTCCGAAACAGCGCGCCGACGTTTGTCAATTTCTTGTTTCGGCTAAATAACTTGTAGTTTCGCATTCCAGCGTCAGGCCGCCGCTGCTGAACTGCATCAGAACAGAATATCGCGATAATGACATGTTCCCGGACCAGGAAGTGGTTCAAACTGGACGCTGTCAGTAGTGCGCATGCGTACACGCTGCTGTCCTCTGGCAGGACTCCATTAATTTTTTATTCATTTTTACTCAACAGACAAAAATGTCTCCCCAGAAAAGGTCATTCTCTTTGAATACCACGTCAATCAAAAAATGGAACCGTTTAACCCTATTCCGCCTATAATGATTCCCGAGAAAGTATTATTATTAGTATGTATTATAATTGTAATATCACTAGCAATGTAATTAGGACCTCAGAATATATGAATATTGTATATACACTACACATTAAACATGAGGCTTTTTTTCTAGGGCACTTTTTAAAACCCAAGTGTTTTATGCAAATATAATTAAAATTACAAGCAAGTCCTTAATTAATAATACTGCGTTAATCTCTATAATTAATAATGCTACAGGGCCTTTGCTTTAATATTTAATGTAGTCAAATTATGTTTTAATCCTCAATATGTAAATTACTCAGGGAAATCCACACAGTACATAACACTGCAGGGTGTTAACCTCGATATGTAAATTTGTAAGGTTAATTTATAGCACCAGTTGTGCTTTTCTAATGGAACGTATTTAGGCGAAATTGCTGTTGCTTTAAATGTGCTTCATAAATAACAGTGACTTGTCTGAATTACAATGTAAAACTACACATTCAACAATGAAACGTATAAACAACCATGTGAACAATATTTATTTGAAAGAGAGAAATGGCCATTTTATATACAACATTCAATAATAATAATTATAGATTATAGATAAATAATAATTTATTATAGATTTACAATTAAATAGGGGGAAATGTCATGTTTTTCTGTTTGTTTGTTTGTTTGTTAGTTTTTTTCTTTTTCCAACAGATACATTTTTAAAGATTCTGTTTTTCTTTGTAGATACACTATTAGAAATGTAGATTTTCTCATTTTTAACCACAAAGTCACCATTAAAAAACAAAAAATGTCCCATTTTTACTTCCTGCTGTGGACACACTGTTAATTTAGAGACATTTTACTTTTTTAATGCAACACAAAGTCCAGGTAGTGAGTAGTCAGTGCTTTATACGCTATATTACAGATTTCTTAGAGTGTGTTTGCTTGTATTCTATTTAAAAAAAACAAAAAAACAGATTGATGTACATACAGATATTAATTAGCTTTGGAAGTTTTAATTAGTGGACACACGATGTCTACAAGTTCACAGAAATTTTCAGTCTCTGAGGTTTCATGTTTCCACATCACACTTGTGTTCGTCATTGTGAAACCATGTTTGTAATTCAGTCACACCTTTAATTCAGATTACAGGTGAGCACAGAAAGACTTTCCCGTCCAGCTGATGAATGTAAAATCAGACTTAGAGCGTAAAACTTTGCAAGTACGTCATTCTGTTCTGCAAAATGCACATATCGAACCAAACATTTAAACAATAAGAATGAACACATTTTGACTTTCTTTGCGTGACGAGGAAACTCTCCCTCTGGCACTCAGCCAGTCTGTGTGTGTGAACGAATGGAGGAGGATGAGCTCTCAGTTTCTTAATCCTGAGCTCTTGCTGTGTTTCCCCAATCATATCATATCACGCCACATTTTACAGGCTTGCGTGAGTCTGCGGCCTAAAAACAGCAAGAGATGAGCTCAGTCGTCTGATCTAAATTCATTTTGCATGACTTGATAACTGACACACTGACACGAACTGAGGATCACAATGCAAATACATCTAAACGAGCTCTCTTTAATGTAAGAAACTGCATTCTTCAACCCCTATATAACATTTTAACAAGGTGATTTGCAGTTTATGTGCAGCCTTTGTATAAAAGCATGCAGACATAATGTGTAAAATGCTGAGTATATATCAATAGCAGCTGCAGCACCTCACATGTTATGTTAGTTGTGACACTTTGTTGAACCTTCAGTCAGGATTTATCAGACATCTGTCGTGTTTTCACTAGGGGGCAGTGAGAGATGCTGGAATTCTGGGGCTTCAGTGACAATAACAGGAAGGGTCCTGGATGGACTCAGCCTAAAGGAAACTGTACAGGATGGTTTAATCGGTTTAACAGTGGAGGCAGAAAAAAACAACATCTTTCCTCATGATTTCATCAGATTAAGGATGTAAATGAAAGGCCAGATCATGTGTTCGGATGCTGTCTGGTGCACAATTACATGTGAGTTTATGGCCAGTCAGGGATAACGCTGATGTTAGCCTGTTAGCTGAGGGGACTGACTGGTTATTAGAAGAACACAAGTATTCTGACTAATTATGGGCAAAGTAATTGTTAAAAAGACAATCTTGCGATGGAGTAAAGCCAAATAGTTAATATCAAGTTAATCTACTTTAGCAACAAAACCTCTACCTTCTTATTCATGACACTGTGACTTTTTCTAATCTTCTATTGTTTTTAAAGAATAGTTCTTGCTGTAATGTCTTATTGTATTTGCCTTGAGACGAGTCACTTTGCATTTTACTGCACATGCTGTATGGACATGAGACAAATAACATTGTTCCTAATGAAAAAAAAAAGGAAACGTTTAGTCGGTTGAGAAGTCTGCTGTGTGTCTGTAAAGCAGCTCGCTGGGCTCGGCCTGCAGGCAGCACCTGTTCTGTGTTCAGGCTGCTTCTTCTCTTCGTGACAGCTGAGCTCTCAGCAGCCACAGCTGGGAAGTTATGACGTTACTACCTACCTGCTGCCTGTGTAGTGCAAGAAAGGAACTGTTTGAAAGAAAGCGCTGCAGAAGCTCAACTTCCAGAGAAACAGTATCGTGCTCTGGTTTCAGAATCTGTATTGTAAAAAAAAATCTGTTAAAAAGATTAAAATATTCCTCCAGCAGGGACACAAAAATCTATCTATCTATCTATCTATCTATCTATCTATCTATCTATCTATCTATCTATCTATCTATCTATCTATCTATCTTACTTTTTCTTATTTTAATGCATGGTTATTCAGAGTTTTTAACAGTATTTTTATATTTGGCATACATTCACAGTCAGTCTTTGTAATTATAGGTAAAAAAAAAAAAAAAGAAGACAAAATCTGTAAAACATTTCGGAAAAATTCTGTAAAATTAAAGACATTTTCCTCAGTATAGAGATGAAACGTTTCATATTTAAGACACATACATATATTTTTGTCTTCTGTGAAACATTACAGGCATATCTGTCTGTTCCTACAGCAGCACCAGACTCCAGGTAACCACAGAGTTCATCGAGTGTCTAGTCACAGTCTGGATAGATGACAAAAACACAACAAAACAACAAATAATCCTGAATAAAACATCCCCATCCCCACCATTTTTCAGATCCAAATGTTCCAAACTATCCAAAATTTCAGTCCCAACACATTTAAATGCAATGCAGGAAATGTGGTTTAGTGAAATAAACACTGGCGTTTACCATTTGGAACTGGTTTCGGTGAGGACAGGTGTGGACAGGTGTGTCCGTCCGGTCTACTGGCTCTACAGCGGAGGGGTGGGTGGGCTGTACCACCACAGAACCGTCCACAGGGGTGGCAGGACTGCAGCAGCTGAGGCGAAGGCCCGGTCTGACTCAGGTTAGCTGTCCTTACAGTGCTGACAAGCTGCCACAGCTGGGGTCTATTTAAAGCTTCCCCTTGTTGTCCCTGATGCCCTGCAGGAGTCAGAACAGAGGAAGACAAGAGCCCTGCTGCCCCCAGAGGTCACCGGACAGACCCCGACCCACTGAAGCCCCGATCTGAGCTGCAAGCAAAAAGCAAAACACTGATTTAGGCAGATTTTGGTGTTGAAATGAAACTTTAATGCAGTTAGATTTCTGGTTTACAACATTTAGATATAACAAAAAAAAATATGTGTTCATGCAAATTGATCAGATGCAGCCAAAAATGAGGCACACAAAGAACAAGGTGAAGACAAGTGGAAGCTTCGAGGAAGTTCAACTGGCTTGAATTACATCGGTTGGCTGTCTGAGGATTACATTACATCCTCTCTTGTGCTTAGTTTCTCTTCTGTTTGCTCTTTCTTTGAATTGCACTTGAAGACTTTCAGATTTTCACAGTTTTCATGCCAATTTATCAAACAGATCCTCACAGTGTTTTTATTTTTTTCTGGGTCTTTCTGTTGCAATGACGCTGCAAACTCTCAGGTTTCACTTCTGAGTACAGTGTTAGCAGAGCTCTGGCTCTCTTGTTGGGGCTTTCCTGAAACCTCAACACCTCTAACTGGACACTGAGGACAATTATGCAACTTTTACTGCTTTACTGTACCTTCACATTTAACACTTCACTTGATAACTTTCAGGCGAATTCTGCATGAGTGTGCCAACATTTCTAGAATGCTTGACGGGGAACTTTGTGGATTTTGTGCCAGATGCCTGTTTGGTCAGTGAGTCAGCAGCTGCATGGAGCCATTAGAGCGACTAAATGCGTCTGCAGCAGAGTTTCTATTTACATCCAACTACCAGCGACAGAAACGCTCTGGATTAGTTTAAATGAAGACGTGTGTCAGCATTAAACCTGAAAATGACTCCAGATATCTGCTGTACAGGATTTTAATAGGCGCTCACGTCATGGCGGTAAAAGTTCCAACCGTCACCGCATAGCAGAGCGACAGCGATATGTAGGTTACGCTGGCAAAACAAAGGTCAGGTTGGTCGGTGTCCGTCTGGACTGATAAGTCAGGAATCCAGGCTGGAGCAGGCCAACAGGCAGATAACAGTAATCTCTGTCTGCATTTAGAGTCCAGTTTCTGTTTCACCAGATAATTCAGCCGTCTTAGTTATAGAGTCCCCAATAAAACATGAGCAAGACTCTGATTCATGCAAACAACAACATGAAAAAAGACCAAATTCTATCAAAAAAGGTGTGAAAACTGCAAATGACGAGTGATTCATCAAAGTATGGGCGACAGATGAGGTTAAAGGCCTTGAGTAGAGCATCTAATTAACAATAAATAAACATGCATTAAGTAATCACACTTGTTTCTGCGTAAAACTGCTTCTATAAATTAGTCGTCTGCATTAATAAATAGAAACGCACCCACCACGCTGTTACTCCTAATTTAAATGATTACAGACAAGTGCTCGAAAAAAAAAGAAAATGGTGTTAAAGTGCCATCACCAAACATAGAACCTCTTTATTCACGCATTTGCTTAAGTACTAGAGGTTTTTCATTTTATATTTATCATACATACATGGTTTGGTGGCAGGAAATAGGAATTATTTTCACTGTCAATAAATCTTTTTGGTCAGAAAACTGTGAAAAATGTCGTCACAGTTTCTTGAATTGTAAGCTGGCATCTTCTAACATTTTGTTCTGTTCGACCAACAGTCTAGAACCCAAAATATTAAATGTATTATAAAAGAAGGAACCTAGAAATGCTGCAAATTCTTACATTTGCCCTTTTTCTGTTTTTTTTTTTTTAAAACATCATCTTATCAAAACAGAAGCAGGAAGGTCCACAAACTTGGATATTGTTCCTTAAAGAACTTATTTGTGCTAAAGTTCTTTGGAGCACTATTTGTGGAACCTAAAGGAACCATTTTTTTATGGGTTTTAGGAGCCTTTCAGAGTTCTTTCAAAAGTTCTGTTTCCAAAATAAAATAAAATTACATTAAAATTCAAAAATAAATAAAAGTAATTAAATTAAATTAAAACACAAAATATATAAAACACAAAATAATACAAATTTAAAAAAAAAAACAAACATTAAACTTGCTCACAGAGAACACAGACAATCCTTGGATTTGTTGTGTTTTTTGCGTATATTTCTGAATGTCCATAACTTCCAAGTATTATTACTAATAATAAGATAGAGTCTGACCCTTTACAATCATTACAGTCAGATAAAGTTGTGTTTTATATAGTTTTTTGTGAGGGGTTTATTCCCTAATATTGACATTACTCAGGTAGATTCACACCATAAATAACACTGTATTGTCTTTACTTCCATATTTAAACTTTTTTGGTTAATTCAGATATTTTAATTTAATTGTTTTTACTGGAAAGCAATTAAGTGCTATGATTGTTGATTTTAAATGTTTTGTATAAATAACAGTGATTTGATTTGACTTTAAATGGCTAATTTATGGCACCTGTATTTCTCTGAGAGCAGCTTCAGACTGTACCGAGGCTGTTATGATGATACTGAAATGATCTCATAGAATATAAGATATCACTGAGGTGGCCTCATGACCTCCAGATCAAATCATCTGACACAGAAATAAAAACATGCGACAAAACAAGCACATAAACACAACAACAGGCTCAAAGGGGCCTGAAACGCTGCTTTATGAATCATTTAAAGGCACTTTTTAAACGATATTTATGCAGCTGTGCCTGCAGACAGATGACCGGGATGCGCCTGCGCGGGTGCACGTGGGCGTGAGTCTGAGTCTGTGTGTGTGTGTGCGCGCGTGGCAACAGCTGAACCTGCGGCAGGCGCGCGCGGAATGCGGTATCCGGTAGAAAGTAACGGTACTTTTATGGAAACGGATCACCGACAGTCAACCCGCAGCCGCGTCCGGAGAGTCCAGAGAGCTGAGCTTCTCCTGGCTTTAATCTGCCACACGGATTTAAAAAAGACAAAAAAAAGATCAAAAACCAGGAAGAAGACAGAAAACTGAGGAGGTAAGGTGTGTTTTTATGATTTAAAAGAAGATTATGTGTCGAGAAGACGCGTTTAAAACCAGATATGATGTTATTTTTTATCATTTTAAAGCTGCTTTAAACACAATTATACTTAAATTAAGGTTCATTGTTGTTTAAAAAAAGTTTCATGATCACAGTTAGTTACTGTCTGTGGCCACATGAGATCAGACAAACAACCAGAGTAGAATAGTTAAAGTATCCTATAAATAAAAACAGTCTATAAATGATAAGTAAATGCATTAATTTACTGTTTGTGCCTTTTATTTCTGACTCTGTCCTGATGTCTTGTGGCAGCTGTGAGCAGAAATAGGACATCACCTGCCAAAACCAAGACTTTCATGCTGCTGGAATTTGGTATTTTAGTGTTAATTTATCAGATCATAATGAAAACCTTCACGTTTCAGCCAAACTAGAAGATTTATTAGAGGAAAGTTGGTTTTTCTTTATAAACAGCCATAGTAAGTCGATGTATTTGCACAGGGTGGGTGATGATTACATTAAACAGGAGTCGACTGGGATGTTATTTAATTATACGTTCAGAGAATTGTGGTGAAGTCTAACAATGCACAGCAGCAGGAGACGCATTGTCATGAGCTGCTTTAGGAGAATGACATGTGCAGATGGTATAATTGCGGCCTGTCCTGTCAATCTCCTGACGTTCAGCTTCTTCTTACTGCGACTGAAGGTGGAAAAATCAGAAACGAGCGAGATTTCATCACCAAATCTCTCCAAGAAATGAAATTATCTGATAAATTAACGGTTGTTTTGCGTGTCCGATGGGGTAGGCTGGTGTTCTATTGTTATTGTCACCTCAAAAACTGATGTACAGTTTGTTTAAACCACACAGGTAAAGTTTCTGCTCCATGCTGAGATGTTTTAGAGGACTTTCTTGAGAAGGCCTCCAAAGTTCTCACCTCAGATTTGAGTTTGGACACTGAGGGCTCTGGTGTTCCACTCAGAGCTTCACACCTGAACAGAAAAAGGTGTCTGAGGACAAAAAGCAGCAGTTTCAGGCCACACAGCTTCTTATTCATTCAGCTGTCGAGCTCCGAGTCTGGACATTTTGTGGAGGGTCTGCAGGCGACATGTGGGAGCCACTTTGAGCTCCGTCCAACTGGCTATCAGTCATCAGAAATAGCCGTGATCACATGTCCCGGAGCCACAAGTGGATATAAATAGGAGTCAGCAGGCCTCCGCTGCAATCTTTCTCAACATACTGAGGAGCAGAGCAGCTTTCTTTGTCCTAATTCGAGTGAATCGTTTCGTATCCATTCGGCTTGGTTCATCTGCTGCCTTAAAAATGTGAATTAACTGCACTCAGAGTCGTCTCACGAGTTAAATTAACTGAAATCAACTAACTGAAGATGTTGATTTGAATCAACAAGTCATATAGCCAGTAGTTACAGACATTTTTATAATTGTAAAGCATTTCTTCTTCATTCAGCTTTAAGAACTCACAGCTGTCGAAGCCTTTTTTGACCAGAGTCGGTACAAAACGACCTGTGAGATGAATTTAAAGGTGTAGAGAACAAATCTAACTTTTATCATGGTCAAAGAAACAACCACAACTTTGCCTAAAGGAAGAGAAAAGACGTGCAGCAAGTTTGCACCATGTCTGTTTGAGTGTCTGTGGAGCAATGCATCCTGGGAAGTCTGCTCATAGTTTTGTTTCCTATAAACTTAATTTAATGAGTTGAGTGAACCCTCAGCTGTTCATTCATTCAACTCATCACTTTAAGTCAAAATTCCTCAAGTTATACCAACTTTTTGAGTCTAAAGTGGCTGAAAATACCTAGAAATGAGCAAAACTTGTACGTTTATGTTAAGTAAACTAGAACAGATGAGTTGATTTCTTCGTGAAGCTCGTACATAAAACTGGGGAAAGTAAAATATCTGTAAAACAGTTATTTGATATTCGGTTAGAAGAGAAAACTAGGATTATGTGGGAAAACATACAATTAAAATTCAACCGAACAGCAAAAACACAAACCACTAAAGACACTTAAAATGAAGAATTCAATCAATATACTGTTAAAAAACTTTGCTAAAGCAAGCGATGCTGTTCTTTTACAAGGACCCAGATAGAAAGGTCAAAAAGTACAGCTCATAGGAAGAGTCTGTTTATGTTATTTTACTTTATTTTTGCAGTGTCAGTTAATGAAGCGTGTGCCAGAGTATTTAAATAGTAGGATCTTTATTTTAGGAAGATATCTTGTAGTTTGAAGTGAAAAGATTTGGTGTCTGAGACCAGATTGTAAAGCAGTGTTTTGTGCACATCAGACGTCTGAACTACGACTTCTTTGCTTCGCAGGTAAAAACTTTCCGAGAGCCTGTTTGTCAACGTGTCACTGTGGTCCAAACATGGCTGAGGTGGTGCAGGCGGCGGCTGTAGCCGACCTCCGCATGGAAGACGTCGTGGACGAAGCCGAACTCGACATGAGCGGCGCCGAGAACAAGGAGGACGACGAAGAGGTGACCAACGCCGAGGCCGAGGAGGGAGGCGAGGAGACGTCGCTCGCAGAAGACGTACCAAAGGACGGAGAGGACGACGAGACGCACGTGAACGGAGTCGAGCTCAAAGAAAACGAGAAGAACGAAAGATCAGAAGCTGTCAACGGAGACGAGGCGAAGGAGGAGGATCCGCAACCGGAACTGGATGAAGACCTGAACCTTTCTGATCTGGCTTTAAAAAAAGAGGTCGACTGAACCCTCCTGCAGCATCTCGACACCGTCACACACGGTGTAAAACATGAAATAACTTGTGATTGTTTGTGTTGTCAGAAACTGCTGAGGTCCAGGAAGCCGGTGGCCAGGAGCTACGTGCCGAAGACGAACAAGGAGAAGGGCGACGTGTCGGGCAAGTTCGAGGCGATGCAGAAGGCCAGAGAGGAGCGCAGCCGGCAGAGGAACAAGGACGAGCAGCAGAAGAGGAAGGAGCAGTACATCAAGGAGAGGGAGTGGAGCCGACGGAAGCAGCAGGTCAAACCCGATAAACCCGACTAACCTCCGACTGCATGGCATGATGAGGCAGCTGCAGGTCTGAGTGACACTTCAGCCTTTTTTTTGTTTACACTGTGTTTTGCACCATTAACAGTTTAATTAATCCTGTTTAATGTTCAACTTTGGTTTGCTGCTGAGGTGGTTGTTTTAACCATATTAATGTCAAGACTGGACCCAGAGTTCAAACACAAGGCGCTCAATGCTTTTTAACCCTCTGAACTCCAACCAGCAGTTTGTTTTTTGTGTTCCTGTTACATTTTTCCTCACCGTGGCCTCGTTTTTATATAAAGTCCTGCACCTCTATGGAAGCATGAAGGAGGAGAGAGAACTTAGGAATGCCAAAGTTAGAATGCTGCACATCATAAAAAGTTAATTTGGTTATTCAGTCAACAAAAATTGAACAACCCTGGAATCAACATTTTTCCTATATCTGTTAGCAGCACTGGAAAAATATTTAATTTACAGACTAAATACTTGTTTCCTCTCTCTGTATTTCAACCCAAAACATCATGAATTTTTGCCATGTGACTGTCGGTTGCAGCTGAGTCATCGATGGCTTCATAGTTGCAGCAAATGGTGCAAAATTTTTTGTTTTTTACAGAATCCGATTTTAGCAAACGTAATTTTTTTTATTGAAGTTTTAAATGAGACACGTAGAAAAGAGGACTTTTGATGAAATACCCCAATTTTAAGTGTTGAAGTTTTCTGACAGAACGGATGATGATGAGTTCAAGGACCTTCGGAAAGCTTAAAACTTTCTGTATTTACAGTTTCTGGCTGATAAATTGTGTAATTTAGCCCTTTTTTTGTTTTTTTCACATCTTGTGAACCTGCTGCTGGGTTTTGGGGTTCAGAGGGTTAAACTGTAATCCAGGTCTCAGATTTACTGCAGATTAAAAGGTCTGTTTTAGTGTTTTTATATTAGTATTTTGTATTATAAAGTCTATTATAGCGCGGGAACTAGAAAGCGCCATGAAGTAAAACATTCAGAGACGTCAGTGTTTTGACTATTTTATGACCTTTAATGCTTTAATCCAACGATTGACGCCTAAAATGGCTCCAAAAACATCCACATTATCTCACTTTATACTACAGAACTGCCTGGATTTTTGTTATTTCACCACAGCTTCACTGACACACTAGAAATAAAACCCATAATATACACGTGCGACATGCAGAGTAGAGATCAAGAATTCCAGGCTTAAGGCAGATTTTCTTGTCGCTCCGCTGTGGTGAAATAAAGGCAGTGATCTGGTGCGGTGTGAGTGGATTATCAGTGATACTCGGCCACACAAACCGTCCCGTGTGCAGTCGTGTCACGGCTGACCGGGCTCGGACACCTACGCTCGTCTCCAGCACCGCCGGCCAATCAGAGGCCCACCTGCAGGTCACATGACCCTGATATTAGCAGGGATTAGGCCCCTGTTCTTGCTGGGACCAGCATGGCTCCTGAGTGGCAAAGCAGATGATCCCAGCTAAACCGTAACCTCACCGCAATCTCCCTGTGATCGGCCGCAGATAAAAGAACTGCTCGCCTCCAGCGATGAGGAGGAGGAGGTGAAGCCGGCCAAGGTGGAAAAGTCCTACGTCCCCAAAATCACAGGTAAGACACACGCAGGGGGAAAGATAAAGATGGACGTGGGAGGACGAGGAAGGAGGCTGAAGGCGTCTGTGTGTGTGGATTCCTCAGGTAGCGTGAAGGGGAAGTTTGCAGAAATGGAGAAGCAGCGACAGGAAGGGGAGAGGAAGAAGATGGAGAGCGAGAGGAAGAAGAGGGAGGCCCAGGACAACATGGAGAAGGCGAAAATCAAGAAGGAGCTGGCTCAGAAGGCCGCCGAGGTCAGTGAACCCGGGTTCTTTGCAAAGAGTTCTCATTTTTCTGCGTGCGTGGATGCGTCAGCGCCGCCTTTCTGGTGGGAACGTTTATCTGTAATGATGCAGGTAATCCTCAGCTGCCACTCGGATCAGTTATTTTAAGTGGCGTTCGAGAGCAGATTGAGCAGTTGGCAGCGGCCGGACGTAGATCTGACCCACCAGTAGCAGCAGCAGCAGCAGCAGAGGCTTTGTTGACATGAAGCGAAGGCAAATAGGTCGACTTCGTTTCATGTCTCTGTGGAGGATTTGTGGAAATCTGTGAAATGGTTCCAGGTACAGTCAGACAGCAGAACCAAGTTTTTAGGCTCATTATGCGTCCAGACTGTGCAGTTCTTGGAAAGATTAATCAGTTTTCTTGAGCCAGATTGTGCAATTACAGGCAATTACCTTCTTCTTCCTCTTTGGCCTAAGTCTGCTTCTGTGCAGTGAGAAGAGTCAAACCTACAGCGATGACTCAGAGTCTCTGCTGGTTTTGTTCAGCTTTTATTAAGTTTATCTAGATGCAGCTGAGGACACTGAGCTTTTAGCATGTGTTGCATCCTACATGTAAAACAGAATTCCAGTATTTTACCTCCAGGATTCAGTTTTTCTCCACCAGAGTCGTGTCGCTGGAGGCTTTTGGAAACTAAAAGGAGACGAAGTTACAGAATCAGACGGTTGTTTGAGTTTGTCTAGTTGTCGTCATTTCAGTTAAACCTTCAGAATATGAACCAGTGAAGCTCCAGATGATTCCAAACTTCTGGTAATGACAAAAATATGGCTCTAAAATAAACATGGTCACAATTTCCCAACAACCTGCAAATTAAAAATAAATCCATGAAATGAAAGTAGTGGCAGCTCATTGCCTAGAATCTGTCCTGTCATAAAAAAAGAGGAAATTTTCTGCTAATGAATAGTTTGTCCACAGTCACAGGACGTTTTCTGTGTTTTAATGGTATATATATAGCAAAAAAATAACATTTTGAGGTTTTTAATAGTGTTTATAGTGAAGAAAATGTTTTTGTTTTTAAAATAAATTAATGGCGAACCAATTGTGACAATTTCCCACATTTAACAGTACATATATAATAAAGAAAATGGACATTTACTATTGTTAAAACTGTTATCTAGAGTGAAAAACAAGACATTTTCTGTTTATTAAACTGTAAATTTACAAAATAAAAATTATAAATTTTTGATAAATCCGTTAAATAACTAAAAGAAGTACTGGCAGTTCATTATTTTCACTTTGTTCTAATTAAAAAAATGACATTTTCTGCTAATTTAAGGTTCACCTACTGTATATTTGAATTAAAAAATAAAAATAATTTTACATTAACCTGCTTTTCTTTTACATTCCCATTAAAATGCTGCAGAAATAAATAAATAAATATATTTTTTATTCTCTAAACTATTCCTAGTTTACTATTTCATCACATTCTCCCTGTAAAATACAAACAACAATTACATCAACTGTAAAAATGTAAATAAACTGAAATGTCTCTTAACAATCTAATGATTCACCTGATATTTGGTAAAGAGTAGTTTTTTTTAATTTTAAAGAAGCCTTAATCATACAGACCAAGGTGTTTCTGTGCGTCCATGTTCACTGTTCACTCTTCTCCTTCCCGTATAACCGGACAATGCTTCAGACGTCACGATTTAAACAATTAAACGTTCGATTGTGACGAAGCAGCGACTCGGTGATCCAGAAACAACTGGAGCGGAGCTGCCAGGTGTAGACAGCACATGACTGCCAACTGTTTCCCACAGCTCCCAGCGACAGAATTAGATCCAGACTTCCCTGCTGAGCCTGAATTAGCCTCTGCTATCTTAGACTGACACCATTCTACTGACCTGCTGCAGATGGTGACATTCGGCCGGTCCAGCTCAGCCCCTGGTCCACACACCGGTTGGTGTTGTGGCCCTGCTGCCCCACTGACCTCAACCGCTTCGTCACACTTTGGCTGATTTTGCGTTTCAGGAAGGAGACGACACGATCCTGGTCCGCGTGGTTCCAGCGAAGTCGTCGCGACCTCCGGGCAGGATCAGGGTGAACTTCGAAGACATGGAGAAGAACCGAGAGGAGGAGCTGAAGAAGAAGGCCGAGGAGGAGAAGAAGAAGAGATACGATGAAAACAGACGCTCCTTCAGGGAGGCCAAGCGGCGCTCGGTGGTCGAACAGGTTAGAAACTCATCTAGAACCTGTTGTAGGCCCATTTTTTTTACTGCAGCATACAACAAGTCCTGCTCCTCTAATGGAACATCTGCATCCTGGAGGTCACTCCCCAAAAGCATCAGAGAGTCCTCCTCATTCTCCACATTCAACAAAGCCATACAGACATATAAACACTGCCCACAACTCATAATTCTGCTTTTTTTTTTTAAAGCTCCTTTCCCATTTTATTTTATTTTTTTCAAATTATTTTATTATATTTTTTATTTGCTTGTTTTGTTGTTGTGGAGCACACACAGGCCAGTTACACAGCACGTCCCATTTCATGATGTCTTATAGAGTTGTGGCCAAATTCAGGGGGTCGTCATTTCCATGCCGTCAGACTTTTGCAGATTGTTTTACTAACGTTTAATCACCACCTCCTGTAGTTTGTGCTGGCCAAATTTCAGGTGTGTATGGCCTTCCCTGTAGGAGGCAATAGATTTTGAAAATGGCCCAAAATGTCGTAAGAGTCAGGCAAAAAATTGTCACAGTGTTTTTCCAAAATGGCGGACTTCCTGTTGGGTTTAGGACTTGGCACTGATTGAGTTTTTTGTGCGTCCCGACCTGCTACACATGCCCACCGAATCTTGTAGCTGTAGATGAAACAACCTTCTGACAGGACTCTGTTGAATGGCAAAAACACCCCGAAAATGGACAAAATGACCATTGATTGAAATTGCACGGGCCGTCATTTCCAAACCGGGCCTCATCTGCGGAGCGTTTTAATAACTTTTAATCACCATGTGCTGTAGTTTGTGCCTGCCAAATGTCAGGTGTGTACGACGAACCTCCTAGGAGGAGATAGATTTTGAAAATGACCAAAAATGGCCATTTTTGAGCAAAAATGGCACGACATGCTCACTATTTTTCCAACATGGCGGAGTTTGTGTTGGGTTTATAGAAGCATGCTAATGGGCTTTTTTGTGCATCACAATATGTTACATACGTGTGCCAAATTTCATAGTGCTAGGTGAAACGTAGCCGCGATGGGACTCTGTTGAAATATTGTAGGGGGCGCAGTTGAGCCGTGTTGCATTTTAGAGCTTGGTCCTGATTGACTTTTTTGTTCGTCCTGACCTGCTCCATATACCTACCAAATTGCATAGCTCGAGGTCAAACGTGCTTCGGTCGGGACTCCGGTAAAATTTTTTAAGGTGGCACTGTTGAGCCATTTTTCTATTGAGGTGTATATTTCCACCAAATTATAAAAATTTTCACCGGGTCTGATGTGTGTGCCAAGTTTTGGGCAGTTTAGGACCTCAAAAATGCGTCTCTTTGGCCTGAAGAATAATAAAAACCCGACCAGTTTAGGTTTGTTTTTTTTGATGGAGCGCTATAGATGGTTAGTTCAAGGACTGTCGGAAAGTTGGTCATCTGATGAGTGGTCCTGTTTTATCGTTTCTGGCTATGGTAAATAGTGAAGTTTAGTCAAACATTAAAAAAGTAAAATGCGTTTCAAACCAGCTGCTGGGTTCAGACACTATGAATTAAACATTTGAATTAGTTTTAATTGTCTCTTATCTATTCTGTGCCTGCAGTTCAGCCAAAAAAGTTCTTGAATTTTTGTCCCGTCACTGTTGGACACAGCTGAGTCACTCGTGGCTTCACGGTTGTGTCGAGGATCGCAGAATTTTTTCTTTTTTACAGAATCTGATCGGAGCAAATCGTTTATTTTTGGCAAAGTTTTAAATGAGACTAAAGGACTTGTGATGAAATATCCAGATTTTAAGCTTAGATTTGGTGGATTTTTCAGATGGAACTTCATGACACACATGACTAGTTCAAGGACCGTCTGAAAGCTGAAAATCTCGCAGTTCTTTGTGGTTTTACAGTTTCTGGTTTTGATAAATGGTGTGATTTTGGTGAACTTTTTAAGATAATATGCGTTTGGAACCCACCAGCGGATGAGATTCAGTTTATTCACAGACTGTGGATCAGCTTAAAGTGTCTCCTGCGTTCTAATTGGAATCAGGATGAAGAGGAGAAGCCCTCAGAGAAGGTGCAGATGACTCCTGGAAAGCTGAAGATGACGTTCGAGGAGCTGGAGAAGGAAAGACAGGAGCAGAGGAAGAAGCAGGCCGAGGAGGAAGCCAAACGCCGGCTGCTGGAGGAGAAGAAGGCCTTCGAGGAGGCCAGACTGGGGATGGTACGAAACTTCAAAATAAAACATCAGCTTCTGTGGAAAGATGCACATTTATCAGTCATTTATATAACAGCTGAACACACGTAGCCTGAATCTGATGAGCAGTGGTTGGTTCCATAAAACTGACTTAATCGGTGCTCGTTTTTTCGCGTCTCGTAGGGGGAGGATGAGGAAAACGATCAGCCGGCTCAGGAGGACAAAGAGGAGCTCCGTCCAGGAAAACTGAGGCTGAGCTTCGAGGAGCTGGAGAGACAACGAGTGGAAGAAGTTCGCAAGAAAGCCGAGGAGGAGGCCAAGAGGCGAATGGAGGAGGAGAGACGAGCCTTCGCTGAAGCCAGGAAAAGCATGGTCAGTATACCTTCTTTAACAGATATGGAAGTCAGTGAAGTTAACTCGGAAGGTTTTCATCGAACATGAGGATCTGTAAACATGTCTAGTAGTGATAACATTTAGATTCATGTGTCAAAGATCAGATTGGTCTTTCAATATATTTGTGTGCTTTCTGGTTAGAAGAGAGTTAAATGATGAGGTTCCTTTGTCTTTCTGTTAAATGAAAATAAATTAAACATCCTGATTCAAATAATAAGACATTTTCAATTTTGGTTTTATGTTTATTTACAGATTTTGTCCTCATTTATTAAATCCAACACCTTCAATAAATTGATAGACCTAAAAGTTTGGCAATAAAACTGTTAGATTTTGCAGATTTTTTGCAAATTATTACGATATAACACCTTAAAAAAATTAAATCATGTTAAATTTGAATTATATAGCAGCAATTCACAACGTGTCATCTAAAGGCACATCTTTATTTATCTTAATTTATACAGAGAAATAAAATAAAGTGTTTTAAAATGTAGATAAAGTGATTGTTTAAGAAAGAACTTATACTTTTGTTTCATTCATTCAGATTTATTCTTAAGAAATAAGATTTACCCTAAAATCACAAGTTAAGACGGTAAATTGATATTGTAGGAATAAACCTTTATATAAAGAGCGACACATTTAATTACACGTAATTATTGTCATTTAATGTACGTGTGTGTAATTTAAGAAAGGAGAAAAAAATGCTGAATAATAATAATTTTTAGTTAAAATGTGAGAAATAAATGTAATTTGGCCCTTTTGGTGACGTGTCAGCAGCTTTAAAGACATTTATGTTCAATGTAAATGATAAAAACAACAACAACAGAATTTTTTTAGGTATTTCCTGTAATAATTAAATCCTTCTTTTTTTTTACAGTTTTGTTTAAAAATGGCGCTAAGCTAACTGAATGTTTACTCTAGTTTCATATTTAATGTGTGTAAACTGTGGTATCAATGTTCTTACTTCACTTTTTGCTAGAAAGCAAATAAAACTCTATATTAAAATGTCAAATTATTCCCTTCAAGTAGCTTCTGCCTGAACTTCTCCTACAAATAAAAGCAGCGTCATTTTTAAAAGTCATAGAAAGATGTTTCCTCTCGGCCTCTTGGACCTTCAGAGCTCAGCTGACCTTCTGGTGTTTGTGTTTGGTCTCAGCTCGTAGACGAGGACGACGAGGTGCTGATGGCTCTGCTCAACCTGGAGGGAAGCAAACCCGGAAAGATCTGCGCCAGCTTTGAGGATCTGGAGCGTCAGAGGAGGGAGGAGGAGCAGAAGAAGGCCGAGGAGGAGGCCAAGAGGAGGCTGGAGGAGGAGAAGAGGCTCTTCGCTGAGGCCCGGAAGAGCATGGTGAGTCTCCACGAGTTAATGAAGTTCTTCGTGATCTGATCACTAACATGGAGGAGCTGCAGACGGACGGCAAAGAGGGAAACACCTGAAGCTCTGATCCTGCAGGGAGCAGATCTGAGTTTGGGCTCAGTTGTCCTCTTAGAGGGAAAAGTCACAAAACCGTCAAAAAAAGAGGATATTTTAACTGATGTATATACAGTAAAACAGTGGAATTTCACCCTGTTGTTAAATAACAAATAACTGTCTGTAAAACTGTAGATTTTTTATGAAAATTAATTTTTTCACAGTTAAATGTAAATAATGTTTTTTTTAGTTTTCAAAAAAATTTTTAAACAATATCTGTTATTAGTAATTTAACAGAACTGAGGAAAAGCTTTAAACAACAGTAAAAAAACCCCCAAACATTTAACATGTTTAAATCCTTAATACATATCTGAATATCATTTGTGAAAATAAGAATATTTTTTGCTAATTTAAATACACTAAAAATGGTGTCATTTTACAGTCAAATGTAAAACAACAGATTAGTATTTATAAAAGTGTACATAATATGGACATTATGTTCAGTTATTTATTTATTTTTTTTACAGTTGACATAAAAAAAAATTCTGTTTTACCAAAAAAGGAATATATATAAAATAATACCCATTTTTCAATATTTAATATGGATAATATTTTTTTGAATAATATATGTAAAGTAACAATAGTTTTGATTATTTAATTCAGTAAAATATAGTGTAATTTTAGAGTTATTGAGTTAAAATACAGATATTTGTTGTGAGTATTAATTACAATTTTGACCCTTTTTTAGGGTTCATGCGTGAATGAAAACTTTCTTTATACAGTTTTCCTAGATATTGTCTGTAATTGAACAAATCCGGGATATTTTTTTTACAGCGCAAACACAACAAACAGTGGTTTTTATTTTCCATTCATTTGCCACCTGTCTGGATGTTCGTGACGTTCAGGCTTCAGCTTCATGTTCTGCTGCTTTGCTTCTCAGCTTTCATGCAGTAAAATAAAACAGACCTGCAACAGATACGTTTAAACAGCAACAACAAACAAACCGGACATGCATCAGCTTTATTTACATCTTTATTAATATCGCTGCATCTAAAGCTACAAGCTGCAGACACTTAAATGATTAGAAATATTATCATCAGTCATGATGTCCTGCTCCACTTCAAACTAACACCTAGTTCAACTTTTCACATTGACGCCATCTAGATGTGACCTACAGCTTTGGAAATAATTATCAAATCACCTGTTTTCTTTACAAAGTCGACACAACAAGCCTTCTACATGAATTATTTTATTTACATTTTATTATAGTGGTTAAATAATTAATGCATCCTCCAAAACGTCTGAAAAAAGCCTCATAATAATTCAAAAGTTATTAAAAAAATTTGATGTACTGAAACTGTAAAAGCATAAAAAGTGTTTGTAAGATTTAAAAACAATGAAATTTACTGATTATAATAAAACTTTTATGATAACGTTGCATCAGCTGACTGTTATGTGTAATTTAAACTCCGATTTCTGCATTAATAGTTAAAACTAACTTAATGAAACTACATTTTTCTTCATCTTGAGTCCACTCCCTCATCTTAGCAATAAGTTTGGTTGTAGAAGAAAAACTAAATCCCCGAATTTAATGTAGTTTGTTGGTTGAACATGAGTCCAAACGTGAACTTTTAGACTGTAAAAGGCCAACAACATGTCTTAAATCACCACCATTCAGCGCACAGTGGTCCGGTAGTTATTTCCAAAGCTGTACAAGTGGATTCAAACGACATTGTGTTCATGTGTTGTGTATCACCGGGATGTGCTCATGTGGTACATCTGCACTGCTGTTCCCTTGTCCAAATTATTTCTTTAAGAGCCCTGGCCTGGATCAGGAAAAGTCTGCATATGGAGATGAAACAGTAAGAGACTTTCAATGTGTATTCTAACTGAAAAACATCGAGGTTTTGAGACCAATTGTTATTCCCTCTGAGTACAAGGGTACAAAGGTCTACAGGCAATGAATGGTTTGGTTGTTTTTGCACGCATGCTGCCTTTAAACGTCATATGCATGACAATAAATGGTCCTGTTTAGTTGTTTGTTGGTTTCACAGTGTTCGGTGAGTATATTTGCAGTTTTTTTTTGCTCGATACTGACTTAAAATTGTAATAAAACACCGACAAAACACGTCTTTATTCGTGTTCAGGTGTTCGATGAGGAAGGAGCGATGGTGAAGAGCGAGTCCCAGGAGGCGCTGCATCCCAGAAAGCTGGAGATGAACTTCGAGGAGCTGCTGAAAGAGAAGCAGGAGACCGAGAGGAGGCGCAAGGCGGAGGAGCGCAAGAAGAAGCTGGAGCAGGAGAAGCAGGAGTTCGAGCAGCTCCGACAGGAGATGGGCGAGGTCAGTGTGGAGCAGCCGGAAGTTCAAACCCTCACGGTCGGGGCTCGTTTAACCGACTTTGTGTTCCACAGGATGAGATAAACGAAAGCTCCGACGTCATAAGCAAAGAGTACGAAGAGCTGACGAAGCTGAAGAGGACCGGCTCCATTCAGGCCAAAAACCTCAAGTCCAAGTTCGAGAAGATCAAGCAGCTGACGGAGGAGGAGATTCAGAAGAAGATCGAGATGGAGAGAGCTCGGAGGAAGGCCGAGGACGATGAGATCAAAGAGAGAGAAGCGGAGAGGTTCCAGGAGGTCTGAGTTCAGACATCAGGAGGCTTCAGACTAAACTCACGTTATTGTGGCATCGCTTTGGTTCTGATTTCTGTGTTTTTCAGGAGGAAGAGGGAGGAGAAACGACTCCGGCCAGACCCGAGGAGTCGCCGTTCAAACAGAAGGTGGACATGAAGGCTCGCTTCCAACAAATGGCCAAAGCCCGAGAGGAGGAGGAGCGGAGGAGGATAGAGGAGCAGAAGCTGCAGAGGATGCAGTTCGAGCAGCAGGAGATCGATGCAGCGCTGCAGAAAGTAAATCCTTCAGATTCACCACCGGAAAAACATCCCCAATGAGCATACACTGTGTTTTTATTTATTTATTTTTTGAAACTTTTACAACTCTTAATTGTAATTAAAAAAACATAATTGGCGGTTATTTTACAGATTTACTGGTGCAATTAAAGGCAAAAGATTTAATTAAAACCAAAACAGGCCAAAGCTGTAAATAATGTCCACATTTGGACTTAATCTCTAAATAATTATTTGTTTTACTGTATTTAAACTACCACAAAATCTCATTATTCAACAGATATTTGCAGATATTTGAAAGAAATATTTTGTATATTAAGGACAGTAAATGGAAACTATTTTTAAACTGGTAATTTATATTTTTAAATTACAGATAATATATTTTAAAATCACAAAAAACAATATTTAAAGTAAGCTAACTAATGTCCACATCAAAATATTTTTACAAATAGTAATTTGTGCTTTTACAATGTGTAACCTCTGTTCTACTGTGTTTAAAGATAGATTTTACAGATATTTGCTGTTATTTTAAAGAGAAAAAAAAGTATATTGAAGAAAATTCTTATTAATTTAAAAAACATTATATGTTGTTTTAAACTGTTATTTTACAGATATTCTCTGTTTTGTTAAATTACAGCTAATATCTAGTTAAATCACAGAAAAAAAGGTATTAATTTAAATATTAACATTAATATTAAGGATGTTAAAAGCATGTTTTTTTATTTAAAAGTTGTAAGTGGCATTAACTGATATTCCCAATTTTGCTAAATTACAGATTATATCTATTGAAATTACAGAGAGAGAAAACAATAATTTACATGTAAGCCAAAAATAAAAAATAAAAAAGGCCAAAACTACAAATCAAAAATTAGAATTTTTGTAAAGATTCTTTTACAATGTAAGACCATAAAATTACACTTTTTTACATTTTTTTTAAAAAAAATTTTACTGCATTTAAATAAGCAAAAATATCATTATTTTAATTTGTTTCCTGTTATTTTATAGATCTTTCTAGTTTTGATGATTCTGAGTAGAATCACAGAAAAAAGTAATAATTTACATATTGACTTTAATTTAAAATAATAAAAAATTTTTTTAAAAAACCGGCAACAGCTGTACATAGTGCCGTCAAAAATCTGTATTTTTTTTTTTACAAATGGTAAGTCATTCTTTTGCAAAGTGTTTTGCTGTATTTAAATCAGGTTGAAATAAATATTATTTTACACATATTCTATAATTTTTCACTCCTAGATTTTCACAGTTTTTTTTTGTTTTTTTGTTTGTTTTTTTTACAGTGTAATAAGAGTTTGGTTTGACGCTGGGACAGGTGTGTGATTATTTTGTCGTGTGTTCCCAGAAGAAGGACGACGACGTGGAGGACGAGGGCAGCATCATCAACGGCTCGGCGGCTTACGAGGACGAGGAGGATCACGCCCGGTCGGGGGCTCCGTGGTTCAAGAAGCCCCTCAAAAACCAGTCGGTGGTGGATTCCGAGCCGGTTCGGTTCACCGTCAAGATCACCGGGGAGCCGAAGCCCGAGGTGACCTGGTGGTTCGAGGGCGAGATGCTGCAGGACTGTGAGGACTATCAGTATATAGAGAGAGGGGAGACGTACTGCCTCTATCTGCCCGAGACCTTCCCGGAGGACGAAGGGGAATACATGTGCAAAGCCGTGAACAGCAGAGGCACGGCGGCCAGCACCTGCATCCTCACGATAGAAAGTAAGACCACCCTGGTGTGACCGCATGCCTGCATGACGCCGGACCTTTACGAAGTGGATCGCATGCTCCTCTTCCTCCTCAGTGCAGTCCCATTACAGCAAAGTAACCTGACCGCTCTTCTGTTTCTTTCTTGCAGCTTATGACTACTGACGCCCCTCCGTGTTCTGCAGAGTTCCCCTGTTGTCTCTCACTCCTTTTTGTACAACTCTGTCCCTCGTGGTAATGGTCAAACAGTGGAGGGAAGAAAATAGCAGTAAGCTTGGCATTCCTAAGGGAGGGATACGCGACACGACACGACTCAGAGAAAAAGACAAGATGTTGTTTACGTATTGCTCAAGCGTAAAAGCTGCGCTCCTCGTTAGGGTGTAGGATGAAAACTGTGCCAAAAACAGACCTGATTCTTGTTCCAGCGCCAACTTCAGACCGTCTTCGCTGCGAGGCCCCAACAACATTTATGATTTCTATGCAGTATTGAAGAACTGAACTGTACACGTCTCGCTTTACGGTCCACGATTGGCAAACGTTATGCTCGAGTTACAGAAATGTAAGATGTAAGATGTCCTTGTGTACTGTTTAAAAGAAGAGGAGGCAGTTATATGAGGGTTAGTTTGTGTGATTTCAGACAGTGATGCTGCTGCACCGTCTCAGATTCTGTTATTTGGGATCCAAACCTGAGCTCTGTGAAATATTTTAGCTGAATTTTTTTATATTTTCCTCCTCAAAAAAAGCCTGGAAAGCCACTTTAACTGTTTATATCTCTTGAATTAAAAGCCACTAAATGTGGTGAGGACACAGACAGGATAGGTTTGAACAGATTCAGATGATTGAATGATTCCTGTAGAGGTCACATTTTGAAAATCAGCGCTTGAAAATGAGAAAAATGTTCAAACTAGGGTTGTGTTGTGGCCCCAGAAAGTTCCTGTAAGGGCATATATATGGACATGTCTGTGTTTTCTACTGAATATACAATCTTAGGTTGTAATTTCACCAACTTTCTAACATCAATATCTGATGTGTAGCAAGAATGGCAAGACAGTTTTTTGCTGTTTGGACTCACTGGTCCAAAAACCCATTAGTCCAGAAACATGCTGAGGTTAATTGGTGATTGTAAATTGTCCGTAGGTGTGAATGTGAGTGTGCTTGGTTGTCTGTCTCTAAGTGTAGCCCTGTAATAGACTGGTTACCTGTCCAGGTGAACCTGCCTTCACCCTGAGTCAGCTGGGATAGACTCCAGCCCCCCACGACCCTAATGAGGATTAAGGTGTAGAGATGATGGATGGATGGACTCATTTGTAGGAGACAAACTGATGAAAATATCATCTATATGTTGTTGTTACATGTGCACATTTACAAGCTGCTTCCATGTTGTCTTGATGTTGAAATTTAGCCACATACGAGGCTCATTGAATGTTCCCATACGGGTCTGAAAACATGAAATTCTCAAAAATCAGCCCAAATATTTTACAGACGTTGGCTCCAAATAACAAGTAAAGAAACTCAGAACAACATCTGAGACGGTGCAGCAACATCATTCCTGAATTCTGTCTGAATCGACACAAACTCATCCATAAATAAAACATCTTACAGATCGATCGGCTGCTGCTCAACATAGTTTTCTGCCTCTTTTTAGTAAATAATAGTAATATATTGACAAGTAACGCGTTCAGTCGTCACTGAAGGGTCTGTCGCACGTTGCAGGAACATATTGATCAGAACTCGTGTGTTCATCCTGACTTCTATTTGCAGTATCTATAAAAATGAATGTTGATTTTTTTTCATGCACCAATCCCCCTTTTTTTTTCTTCTCTTTTTTGTTCCTTTCGAGTTAAATGTGATAACTCCCGATGCAGTCGTGTCATCATTCAGTTGTCCAGGACGACCGTTTTATGGTTTGATAATGAAAAGAAAAACGTAGGCTAGTCGGAATATTTGTCATATATTATAAATAGGAAGAAAAAAAAAGTTTTAATAAAATGAACAAAAGTAGCAGAATTATTGTGATGTGTTTTGTTTTGGAGACCTGTTGCTCGATCTGTTGGGAATTTTACCTGCTTTGCTTTTGAGCGAGCTAATATAAACTATACAGATCGCACACGTGTGGTGTATATATATATATATATCCATATAATACAGGTACTGTTAACATTTTGGTTACTATGGTGACCATCCTTGATAAACAGCCCTGGAGAAGAGATGCTGTGGAGTATCTGAGGAGAAACAGCCAAAGTTCATTCATGTTTTTAGGAATTAAAATTCTGTTCTACAACAACTTGTTGAGCAGCAACAAGTGTTTTCATCATCACTAGCTGAAGCCATATTTTAGTTTTAAGATCAGAGACTCTGCAGTTCTTCCATCCGTCCACACTAATGTTACTGCTGCAAGAATCCTGCAGTGAAATGACGAAAACAAAACATGTGTTTCCCTTCATGTCATGTTAATTTTTTTTTTATTTTTATGAGGGATATGTTTCACAGCAGGATATTTATTTGCACCAGGGACATTATTGCGGATGTGGATGATAATAATTAACTTTATTCATGAAGCGTCTATTGATTTTTTGGGAGGAAAAAAAGAGAAGCAACATTTGGGAAGTAGAAATAAACAAAGTAAAAGATTTAGAAAACCCATCAATACAACTAATATTAGAGACAAGAGAATATAAATCAAATGAAGAATAAAGTACAAATATATTTACTTTGTTTTACCATGATGCTGAATTCATGTACAGTTACACCTCTGTACCATTTTAACACCTGTACAATAATGACAGTATGATATCTTACTTGATTCTCATTTTTTATTTAATCCTATTTTAACTCCCACATGGCTGCTATTATACAGCTGTTTCTGTGTCCATCTGCTATATGTGCCTTTGAATGGCCCCCCAGGACACAAAGGAAGTTTTCTGAATTGAAAATTGAATTGAATAAATAGAAAACAGAGGTTAAAACCATAAAAACAGGGTAATCATTATAATAATAAAGCAAAATATGGCAACAGGCAGCCTATAGGGGCAATGAACTACATGTTATTGTGCCATAAACTGCTGCAGCTTGATAAATTATCATCACACATGGACAGACTTTTTAATATTAAACACACATATAAACTATAGATGTTGCTTGTTACCCCTCAAACACTCCACAGTGTCTAATAACTAAAACTGCACCTTTATTAATCAAAATCAGATCATTCACTGTAAAATAATTAACTCATATATCACCATGTGATTTATTAACTCTCACATTAAAACATAATTTCCAACCAGCCTCTATAAAACAACAGCATGACGGATGTAGTGTAGTTTAGGTTTTAGTTCATGTGCCACTTATTGATCTCCTGTAATAAACATGTGGGGAGAGCGGCTGCTGCCGTCTCCATGGTAACGCACATTGGTAAACAACATCCGTGATGGATCCTCCGGTTCACTGATCCACACACACGAAGACATCCTGACCGAAGAGACACATCTGTGCACATTTTCTTGTAAGGATTCATTGAAACAGTGAATCGAAGTCTCAGTCTTGTGTGTCTGAACTTACCGTAAACCGGAGTCTTCTAACGAGGCTCCCCGACTTTTAGCCGGAGCAGCTAACCGGCCGAAGCCCACTGTCGGAGGTCGCTGGGAACGATGCCGGCTTCTGGTTAAGTCTCTGTCAAACGGATGCAACTTTTCCCATCATGGTGGCTTCAGTTGAGGAGGTTTCTTCGTCTCTGGTGCGGGAATACCTGAGCCGAAAGGTGAGTAAAAGACCGCTAACAGGAGGAAGCTAACGGGAGCAGGCTAACGGGAGGAAGCTAACGGGAGGAGGCTAACAGGGCTGCTAACGTTTGAGCTAACGCTGCTAAGCTAACTAGCCGCTACCTTCCATTCAGCAGCGAATGAACAGTTTTACCCGATTCTGAGACAAAAAGCTTTAAACTTCTGCCTCAAATCATGTTATCCTTCAGGGATTTGTGCCTGTTTGAGCTGTATTTAGTCACGTCCAGTCTTAGCATCATTTACGGGGTCTGTGACCAAGGAAAAGCTTTAGCTGCTGTAGTTTAGGTAAAACTCGGGCAAAGCCTCTGTTTGGTCTGATAACTTCATGATAAAGTGATTGATTTGGTGTCATAATTTAGTATATATTTGCATGTATACGTGCACTGTTTGTATTGACTGTATTTAGAAAGACTTAACAATATCAATGTATAGGAAACTGTGCAATGTCCTTATTTTTAATATCAGTGTTTTATAATCTGTTCACAGAAAATGTGCAGGATTGATTGAATTTTAAATTATTATTATTTCTTATTTATTTATTTATTGATAATGTAATTAATTTGATGAAACAATGTGGTGATACCATGCGTGTAAGTTCACTGATTTACACTGTGTTATAGACATTATTTAAAAAAAATAGTACTATATCAACCTTGCATGTACAAGTCTGCAATATTAATATGATTTCTTTGTTCTCCACATCAGTATTTTATACTCTGTGCACAAGCACTGAAATATTAGTTTTTGTCCTGATAGAATAACTCACTATTTTCACATCAAGAGAAATATGTGCAACATGGAACATCTATATCTATATCAGCAGTATTTATCTATATTTATTTTGTCTTTTACTACTGAAATTCCTGCATTTTTTTTGCGCTATTCTTTCCACAAACTTCCTCACTTTGTCTTATCTGTTGGAGCTGTATATTATCTGATGGATGTCTGCCAAACCCCACACAAGAATGTAAATTGTCGACTCAGTTGGAAGTAATCAGCAGGGGAAGTTTTAGGACGATAACCAGAAGAAGTGGTTTCCAATTTTCTTCCATTTTGAGCAGAAATCTCCACTTTAGCAGCATTTATATTGTGAAGGTTTTTACAGGAGGGTCATAGCCTGATTTACAGGCATTTTGTTCCTAAAAGCCTGACTTTTTTCCGGTTGCTGGTGGTATTTAATGATTTATGAAGTGATAAAAAGAGATTCTCCTCTGAAAAAAACCTTTGACTGATGTTTCAGCAAAATTAAACAGCAGTTTTGAACCTGCCTGTATACAATGTTGAGCTTTCTGTTCTGGAAACTGATGCAGTGACACCTTTCACAGTTGCATTCTGGGTAACTTTCCCAGTCACAGTCTTGTCTGATCTGCTGGTTTAATTAGTTTAAAATTTGCGAGGGAATTCCACATCTCAATATCCATTAAGATGCTGCATTATTAGCAACGGTTCGCTTGTGTCTTATTGGGAAATCTTAAGTCAAAATCTTAAGTTTCACATCACTTTCTGGATAAAGTTGTATTTAATCAAATTGCAACTGCAAGAAAACAAATTGTTGATTCCCATGTGGTGCTGTTTTAATGTCACATCACGTCTTCTTTCTGACTTCTAGGAAACAAACATTCAGGTGTTTATTTTACTGTAATTTGCATGTGGACACTTAAGCAAATTAGCACGTATTTACTCATAAAATACCTAATTTGCATATTTCAACATAGAATTTCAGAAAACCTGTCGTACCTAAGAACCGTTTTAACTGAAGTAATCAGCTGGGAAAGAGTCATGTTGATGCCCATTAGAAGTTGTGTCCAATGATGATGTTAAAAATGCGTTTTTTGCAGCTACTCTAAGCTACAAATCTGCACTTCAGCTGCACTTACATACACCAAACTTTGCATTTTTATTATTATTATTTATTTTATCCATATCCTGAAGGTTTTTACAGAACGGTTCACTCATTTATCAGTTACAGCCTGATTGATTGAACATTTTTTTCTTAAAAACGTGGAATAATTTGACCTTTTTCTGGCTGGTTGGTTGTATTTTGTGATTTATTGACAAATTAAAAAAGAGAGACCCAAAGTTCTCTCTCCAATAATCTAACATTTAAACTAATCAATCGACATGTTTGAACCTGGATATATCAGATGTTGAGATTCTTGTTCTTGAAACTGTTGCATGTGGTTAAAACTCCCGGCCACAGCCTCCGTCTGGTCCCAGAATAAAGTGTAAAACAGAGCATCTGTTGATATTCACGCACAGGGGCTCAAGAGGACTATCGCCTGTATGGACGAGGAGCATCCACGCACAGAGGCCAGCATCAACAACAGATCGCAGCTGAGACAGATACTCAACATAGAGGACCTCTACACGAGGAATAAGGCGAGTCTGACGGCTGGAGTTTGGCTGCTGTGCAACATCCAAGGTCTGTAGCTGACTCTTCTGTCGTTGCAGGTTCAGAGTTCCCCCCTGAGGACGTTGCTGGAGATGATCGTAAAGCATCACATCGAGCGACTTAAGAAGGACAAGACCACCAGCAGTGAAAATGATTCTTCCCAACCTATCAGCTCGATCGCTGATCCTCCTGCAGGAACAAAATCAGTGATGAATGACGTGAAAACAGAGGAAATCGCACCAGCTTTTGTTATTAGCAAACAGAGCAAATTAAGGTATTTCACTGACTATATTTTGATGCACTATTCTGAGCAGTTTTGACCATTTTTAAATTAGATTTTTAACTAAATCTTGTCTCTCATAGGTCTGATATAAAAGGAACAAGCCCTTCTCAGCACACAGCTAAGTCAATGTCCAGCCATAATCCAACAGCTTTCTTAGTTTATGACCGAGAAGACCAAAAAGGCCAGAAACCGATGACTTCTCTTCAGGACAACGAGAGCTTCATCCAAAGAGGACCTGAAAAAACCCCGTCCATCGCCGAGGCCGTCCAGAAGAGCAGAACTAATCGCATTAGACGAGGAATGATGGCCGGACCGATAACTCAGGTGCTGAACTTTTGATGCTTCAAAAGTTCATGATCCCACATTCGTTGTAGTTTCATCCTTTTACTGACGTTTTTCCCTTTTAGGAATCAAACAGAAAACGGCAGAGTCGAAGGGCTGAAGCGTCCCAGCCGCTGCTCAGAAGAGACGAGGAAAACAGGCGGTCCAAGAATGGACTTTTAGTGGCTGGCTTACATCAGACAAGCTTAGACAGCAGCCTGAGTGAAATCCGCTCAGCTGACTGTGGAGACGAAAAAGCGGAGCTGCTAAACGCACCGCAGAGAATGTGGAGTGGAAACAGCTTCGAAAAAGTGGGACAAAACATTGAGAAGACAAGACAGTAAACAGTTTTTTCATACTTCAAATAATCAGTGAGGACACGATGCCGACTTTTTCCTTTTGAATCTGTTTTCCCAGCGTTTTGTTCTCAGGTTCTTGTGCACTCTTTTCTTTCTTCTCAGGGTGAAAACGTGGCCAAACATGGCTGACTTAGACGTGTCTGAGATGGTGCTGGGTGAGTGCTGAAAAAAAACTGAAAAAGTAAGCTTGAGTCGTCGTCCCAGGCTCGCCAAAGTTGATCTGTGTTTATTAAATTCCAGATGACATCGATGATGACGATGACGAATTCCGACAACTCTCCAAAGTGTCTGTCCAAAGAGCCGCCGCCGAGCACAGCCATGCAGGCCGACCGATGGACGAACGCGTCGCCGCGGTGGGTGATTTACGGCGACGCTTCTGCAGGCAGCTCCCGCGGTCGACTTTAATCTCGCTTCCCGTTTCTGTTTGTCTCCAGGAACTGAAAGCGGTTCTTCTCGGTTCCAGCCTGAGTTATTTCAACGCCGAGTGGAGGAGCCAGGGTTTCACATTCTCCGAAACGCATGACCTCAGATATGGAATCGTGCAGAAAAAGGTCATTTTTGAAGCTGCCATCTGGTGAAAATCCATTTTTATTGCGCGTTTTGTGATTGTTGTAAACTTGAAGGTGTAAAATACAATCAGTTGACTTCTGACATTCCTCACAACTAGTTAGCCTCCTAGATTCACAAGACAGCAAAGGTTCAACCCACACCAACAGTCCTCCAGCTCAGACTGCAGAGTTTTCATCCATCCATCCATCCATCATCTACACACCGCTTAATCCTCACGAGGGTCGTGGGGGGCTGGAGTCAGACAACCAAGCACACTCACATTCACACCTACGGACAATTTCCAATCACCAATTAGCGTCAACATGTTTTTGGACCTTGTGGGAGGAAGCCGGAGAACCTGGAGAGAACCCACGCTGCACGGGGAGAACATGGAGACTCCACGCAGAAAGATTCCGGCGCCCCCACCGGGACGCGAACCGGCGACCTTCTTGCTGCGAGGCAACAGTGCTAACCACTGCTCCACCTTGCAGCCCCAGAGTTTTTTTCCTAGAACAGCCGTAAAACCAGAAGTTACACAGTCTGGATGTAATGGTTTAGATAAACTGTTGATCCACATGGAAATAGTTCTATCACAGGAGCAAGCACATAGAATAAATAATATAAGATATAAGAATATATATCTATAATATACAAAAAAAAGCAAGCAGGAAAAAAATACAATACAAAAATGTCTATATGTACAATTTTACAAATCACTCCTACTGTGTACATTCAGAAATAAACACTGCATACATGCTGATACACGCTGTAAACACTTGTGAGAAAAATATGACTTATCTAATACAAATAGATGGATAAATAGAACTTTATTGATCCCTTTGGTGGGTTACCTCGGGGAAAGTGTCGATAATAATATGAACCATGCTTGCAGTAGTTTGAGCTGAAGAACTGACACAAACACTTTGTGGGAGAGTTAATTTGCTGACAATAAGCACAATATGGGCTCAATTATTCCTTCTTGCTTCATATGATTAATGAAGTGTTGTTCTTCATAATCTAATATTTTCCCATTGTGTGTTTATTTTTCTAGGGTGGTCCCTGCGGAGTCCTGGCGTCCGTCCAAGCCTTTGTTCTGAAGAAACTGCTGTTCGAAAACCCAGAAAGCGGCAACGCAGGCCTTCAGTACGTTATCACGGCCTCCTGATATTAATCTCCGTCAGCGTTGTTCACAGCCATTAATTCACTTCAAGGAGAGCTTTGTAGCCGCTGTCAAGTGTCGACCTCTGCCTTTCGGTATTAACTGTGCCGTTGCCCCCAGACGACCTATTTTTCTCTCAAACGCCACCTTTGTTCTCAGGAGGTTAAGACCTTCCAACGCGACCAGGAGGAAGTGTCTGGTTTTAGCCGCGGCCGAAGTCTTGTGGAGGGCCGGCGAGGAGAAACGAGCCACGGTGGCGATGTAAGGTCACATCCTCGTCCGCTTAATCGCCTAAATCCGACACACGGCACCTCTTTGTTGGTTCTTATTTAGGTCAAAGGCCTGGGAGTAGCTTGTTCCGATGGTTTTACTGGATCTGTTTCATCAAACTCAGCTCACCGCATTCTTTATGTAGCTGCAGCTGTCAGACGTGTTCATCTCAGAAGTTCCTGATTAATGATTTAGGGCATTGATTTCAACTCTTTGGCTTCTCTCAAACCTGAACTTTGATCTGTTAATCTGACGAGAACCGAACCAGTCTTACTTACGACAGTGCTTGGAGTTGTTTCTAGCGATTTTAGGAAAGATTTTTTCTCCACGAGACGACAAAAACATCACAGAGAGCAACAGACAGAACCACAAAACGTATTCCTCATTCATGTCGCTTCACAATTTCACATCTATCTATTAATAATAAAACTTTACTATAATAAAAACAGACAGTAACAGCTTAGATTATTAATGCTAAGTAGTCGTCTTTTTTTTGAGACGTTAACAGGAGCTAAAGCTGCTTGATCCTTTTTCCTCTAAATTCATCCAAAACCTGCAGCACCAAACAACAGCAGCAGCTTCATTAATTGGTTATAATTATATGGATAAAGAGAGTGGATCGATCAGGATCCGTGAGCTGTGCTTCACCTCAGACAGGTGAGCTGCTCCACGGCTGCAGGTGATTACGTGGCGTTTGTCCTCAGCTCCTTCACAGCTGCTCAGACGTGTTTGTTTTTATGTTATTTCACTTTGACTTTTCAGTTTTAGTGTCGGTTTTACAGTTGGACAGAATTTGACATGTTGTCTAATCGTCCCTCCATCTCTATGTTTCAATGAAACTGTAATGTCACAGATTCCATGTCTGAAAAAAGGCCTCAGTGTGCTTTTGGTTTTTTACCTCCATTTTCTTTTTTCAACAGAAATTCAGGAAGAAACCATTTCACCCCAACTGGACGCTACAAATCTGACGGAGTGCTTGAAAAGGTGCAGACACACCTCTGAGAAATTCACCCTGATGCAGCCGAAGAGTTTCACACTTAAAATCGTAACGTATTTGTACTAGTCCTGGTAAGACATGATGCTGGAGCCGTAGTCAGAGCCAGATACGTTTGTTTTCGTCTTGCTTTCTGTGTGCCTGTGAGGCTGAAGTAAGAAGAATGCTGATGTTTGTGCTGCTGTTCTAGATCACATGCTTCACTGTGGACAACATCAAGGATCTGCATTTACTTCTGGAGCAGCATATTGAGCAGGTGAGGTGGATTTTACCTGCTGTTAAACTAAAGTTTACCATCTTTTATTTGTTCTAAGCTCTGTTTTTTTTCCCCCTACAGTTTGAAACTGGGATGTTGGGATGCCTGCTGCTGACCGTATCTGCTGTTCTGTCTCGATCCATTGAAAAGTAAACGGAGCCTTTTTAACACATTTCTGAACGAGAGCTGCAGCGTAAAGCGCTTCGAGGCAGTTAGTGGAACAACTGTCTTGTTTCTTTCTGTGCTTAGAGTAAGAGAGGACATGGACGTGCCGACCACCACCCTTATCGGAGCCCACGGTTACTGCACTCAGGTGGGACACAGGACTGGACACTTACTCAGTTTCTCTAAATCCACTGCTTTTAAGGCTCATGTGACCGTTCTGAACAATCTACTGCACATAATTATCAAACACCAAACACTTTAAGGTACCTCAGGTGAGAATGAAGTCTTCTCAGCCTTGTTAAGATGCTCATGTGATGTTTTTATATGTTGGAGACGTTCTGAGCGTGTCCTCGACGCTGCAGTGAACCGATGACGCCAGATTCAGACTTTTAAGCAACCAGTAATGTCAACTGGCAGCGTGAAGCTTTTTGTTTGAACATGTTTGACTGAATTATTCCAGTATTACAACCTGCCATTGTGCAGCACAGGGAGGTTCTACAGAGACAGTGTAGGAACGTTTAGGCTTTTTTTTTTTAAAAGACAAATAAGGATTATTTATTGGAGAAAAAAAACTTATAAATATGTAACTGTGAAATGTTGTGCTGCTGGATTCGCCTTGTTTTTTTTGTTTTTTTTTTTTAACCTCGTAAATCAAAAAATAAAAGTACAGCAGACAGACACGTGAACTTTTCAGGGCTAAAAAACACATTTGATCTCTGTTAATAACTGCAACCAAATCAATTATGTCATAATGTTTATTTAACCAGTTTGTAGCATCAGTATTATGGGATGTCTCGTAGTGTGAACAGTCAAACCACAGCAGTTTAATGTCATAGAGTCACAGAAACAATCATTGGTATCCTGGATGTGTTTCTGGTTTCTGATCATTCACCAGACAAAACTTTACAAAGTGCATTCTGGGTAAACGTTCAAGGCTCATGTGTGATGGTGGTTGGTCAGAACAACTTCTAGACATGAAAGGATCATTTTTACCTACAGAAGATACCTGATCATCTCCTAGACACGATTCACAAGGTGGCATTTTGTAATAAGAACATGTTTTGATGCTAACAAAATCATTTTCTCTATAAATGTCATTTTGAGCCACACAAATCAGTTTTTAGAGTTAGATCATAAGCGGTGTCCTAGTAGAACGTATTGATGGTTGAACAGCTGTTTCTATCACTTACTGTTACGTTGTGTGCGACTTTCCCCAGGAGTTGGTCAACTTGTTGCTGTGCGGCAGAGCGGTCTCTAACGTCTTCGACAACGACATGGAGCTGGACTCGGGCGACGGCAACGCGACGCTGCTGAAAGGAATCAAAGGCAGCTGCGACGTGGGCCTGCTGTCCCTATTTGAGCATTACAACATCTGTAAGGTGAGCGACACAGCTGGCCGGCTGACATACAACACAAACACTGACGTAGAAGAAGAAATGTCATGTAAGCTAAAAAAAAGTTTGAAGTTTAAACTGTAGTTTTTCCTCCATTCCCATAAGTTTCAGGGAGGATCTTTGAAAAGGGAATTATCAACATGGACAGGAAACACTAATTCATTTCTAAAAATCTGTTTTAAAGCTAGTTTTTCTCTATTTCTGCTAGCAGTCTGTCACCCAGTGTTTTTATAGTTTTATTGCATTGAATACAGAAATATGGTTGTAAGGAGTCATCTAATAAATTAATGAAATAAAAAATGAAAACGAGAGCATCTAGCAAATCTTTGGGTTCTTGGGTTTTTGTGTAAAGTTTTAAAGGGTCATACCTTTAGTTTTATTTAATCTAGTTAAATCTACATAAGTCATAATAATGCTGCAGGCTCTCAGCTTTAATATTCATATTAGGTTATGTTACTATTTTTTTAAATTATTTTAATTTTCATTTTACATTTGGGAGGTTATTTTCCATAATTAATTTGTATTAATGTCAGTTAAAGTAGTATTTTATATACATTTTGCAGGGTTTTAGTCCTTAATTTGTTGATCTACTCAGATAAAATCACAGCATAAATAACATTATACAGTCTTCAGCCCAATATTTAAACTTGTTGGGTTACTTTTTAATGCCAATCACAGCCTTTCTTTAAAAAAAATAAAAAAAAGGAAAAAAAAAGAAAAAAAAAAATAAAAAAACAGGAACTTCACCAACGTATTTATTAGTTTGAATTTCTTTTCATAATTCATCTAATTTGACATTTATTTTATTGTAAAACACTTTGTAGCTTGTTTTCTAAAGGTGCTATGCAACAAAAGTTATTATTATTAACCAACTGGGGCTTTTTTTTTTGACATGTCAGCGTGGAAAAGAAAAACACAGCAATAAACGATTAAATGAAGGAGCTGCTTTGGTTTGAACATCATGTTAACTTTGTGACTCACAGCAACACCTGAGCAAACACAGCTTCATAAAACAGAAGAACACCTGATGTTTTTCCTGATCTAAACCTGCTGACACGACGCTGCCGTTCTCTCTCTAAGGTAGGAGCTCACCTGAAGACCCCCTGTTTCCCCATCTGGGTGGTCTGCAGCGAGAGCCACTTCAGCGTGCTGTTCGGCCTGCAGAGGGAGCTGTTGACCAATGAGGACAGAGCTCCGGACTTCGACCTCTACTATTATGACGGGCTGGCCAATCAGCAGGAGGAGATCCGCCTCACCGTTTGTACGTAGCGTCGCTTCATCTGACCAACTCTGTGCTTCCTGTTATGAATTATAATAACTTCATACGAGTGAAATGAAGCCATTCAGGGTGTGAACTGTCTCCTCACAGTCTGGGATGCTTTTTGGTCCACGTTCACTCCGGTTTTTCTTCTTTTTCTCATAAAACTGAAATGAACCAGTTAACATGCAAATAATGGAAACTACAGTAAATATACTTTGGTGTGTGACTTACATGTTGGATATTATTTGAGGAAAGATCATAAACCGCAGTCCTGTTTCTGCACCAAGGCAGCTGTTGTTATTTTTTTTGCACAAAGTAATGTCATTTCATTTACTAATTAATTAGTAGAATGTGAGGTTTACTGTTTAATACCACAACTAGATGTCTTAATCAACATTTCCTCCTTTTAAAATGCACAAACTGTGAATTGCAGACAGATACCATAAATAATAATAAATAATAATGATGCATATTTCATATTTATGATCCAGAATTGAGATCAACCGACTCTGTTTGACATTTAAAAATGCAGAAACCACAAAAACACCTGAAACAATGAAGGATAAAGAAGAACTTATGAGTCGGGAACATTTATGCAAAGGAATTTGGAATAAAATAACGAGAATAAATGTAAAGTTCTCATTAATATTCTGCTTTGAACTGCCAATTCATTCCTGGTTTTGGCTCCAAAAAATAACATCAGATTTGTTTTCAGCTGTATTTTGGTAAAACCAGAACGCAGCTCAGTGTTTGTTTTATGTCTCGTAATAACCTCACGCTAGTAAACTGCCACTGAGGGAAACACGAGGGCTCCGTTTCTGTGCCTAATCTGCTCAGTAAATATAGATATTAACAGCAGATGTGGTGGTTTCTCGTTGCCTTTTCTTGTGGAACGTCTTGTTTGCGGTCTGAATTATCCGCTTCTTTGTCGTGTTGATGCGTGAAAGTGCGACTCACTTAAAGATGCCGTCCATTTGTGTTTCTAGCTCTTGGAAAGTCGAGCCCGAGCTGTCAGGATGATCTCATTCCCCCGCTGGAGCTCTGCATCCGAACACGGTAATCATCTGCACGCTCACAGGTGCTGGCCGGGATGTGAGGAACGAACGTAAAACCTTTTATTACCGCTAATTACATAAGCTTCAGATGGTTTGCAGACTCTTTCAAAACACCTTCGAGTTGTAAAAGTTTGTACCTGGTCCACTCCCACGTGGCTTAAATGTGTGTTTTGGTTTTGTTTTTCAGATGGAAGCGTGCGCTTGTCAACTGGAACGACACTGAGCCGATTCTCTGACGGATCCTGGGGTTTGGTGTTGTTTTAATTATGGACATCAGCCAGCAACAAGCGTTGTGCGTCACCAGTGCAGAGGATTTATTAACACATTGACCTGATATCATGTCACGCAGTTAGACAAGACAGTAGGATCTCTGCCTGCACAAAGTGTTGGGAAATTAAAAAAACATACATATATGCACACTTAAAAGTCACATAAATGTGTCCAAACCCATTGAGACAATAAGGAGTCAGTGTGTCACAATGGTTCTGGGCAGATTTTACAGCTGAATAACTTTTGGTCCACATTGGAGAATGAAACGTCACATCAGGGTCATTCTACCATAATTTCCGGACTATTAAGGCACCTGAATATAAGCCGCAGCCACTAACTCTAAAAAGAAAACAAGTTTAGTACATATACAGGCCACATTTGTTTACAAGCTGCAGGTGTCCACGTTGAGATATTTACACAGAAAGATTCTTTAACTTTTAATTAAATACGTACCGGTAACACACAAAATGCTTTTTCTGAACAGTGCCTGTAACACGGCTGGTTAAGAAAATAAAAACTACAGCAGCCTACCAGGAAAAGTCATTGATCGCTATCTTCATCTTCCTCCTGCACACCATCCATCCATCCATCCATCCATCCTTCCTGATCTGCACACACCTCCTCCAGCTCTTCTTGGGGGACCCCCAGGCGTTCCCAGGCCAGTTGAGAGACATAATCCCTCCAGTGTGTCCTGGGTCTTCCCCGAGGCCTCCTCCCGGTGGGACGCGCCCGGAACACCTCCCCAGGGAGGCGTCCAGGAGGCATCTGAAAAAGATGCCCGAGCCACCTCAGCTGGCTCCTTTGGACGTGGAGGAGCAGCGGCTCTGCTCCGAGCTCCTCCCACGTGACTGAGCTCCTCACCCGATCTCTGGTGCACTAAAACCACTAAAGTCGTCTTCTTCAGTGTCGGATTTGAACAGCCTCAGAATTCCTTCGCCTCAGTCTCTCTTTAGTTGTCGCTCTCAACGTCACTTTGGTCTCGAGGCAAATTCGTAAAACTTGTAAAAATCCATAAATTAGCTGCGTCATTGTTCAAGCCGCAGCGTTCAAAGCGTGCTAAAAAAAATTAGCGGCTTATAGTCCGGACATCACGGTATATAGAACCAAACAAATCTGGGAAAAAGTTCCCTCCTCAGAATCAGCCGTTACTTTATGTACAATAACTTGAGTAAGTTTTACCTTCATACTATGAATATTTTTTAGTTACAGGCCCTTGAAGTGCACAGAAGTGGGTTAAAATTTTGTGCTTTTTGATTCGTCTTCAGCATCTTTAAACCAGCAGATAGACACATCAGGGCAGAAAAACACATTGAGTTCTGTTAAAACTGCAGCTACACCAATTTATCATCCATCTCGGTGTCACAATCTAAAGACTAAATGTCATTTTTGTTCAATAACCAACTTTGAGCATCAGTGTTATGGGATGTGTCATAGTTTTACCAGCTAAACTGCAGGAGTCTAATGTGTATGAGTCATAGAAAAGATCATTGGTATCCTGGATGTGTTTCTGTTTCTGATCACTCACCAGAGAAAACTTTAAAAAGTGCATTCTGGGTAAACTTTCCAGGCTCATGTGTGATGGTGGTGGTTGGTCAGAACAAGTTCCAGACAATGGAAGAGTCTTTTTTTTTGCCTACATTTGACACCAGGATCATCTTCTGGACTTGATTCCTTCTGTGTCAAAACTATTTGCTCCCATAGGGTTTGTATCACAAGTTTCTATTTACTAGAGGAGTTACTCTTGTGCATGTGTCCGTGTGAGGCGTCAGATATCGTAATCGCACAAACATAGTCGATCAATGCGATTGTTACACAACACATGTGAACACCAGAGTTGTTTCTGTGCCTGAAGCTCCACTCAGCCTGTATCAGTGCTCCACCAGGTGAGCTACCAGGGTGTCCACAACAAGGAGATTTTATTTCATTTGTGCTCGAATAATAACAAATCACATCAGGGATTTTTTTTGTTTGCAGATTTTTCATGTGGTGCACAGCTGCGAATGAATCCCAGTAAAACCCTCACACCGACGCCTGTAGGTCTCATTTTTATCCACAGTTTAATACCAGGATCAGCTTCTTAGCATGAAGGTAGAACTGCTTCATCAAGAAATCAGCTCATTCTGAGGACAGTATTTATTCATCAGTTATTTGAGCCAAATGCTGTTGCCTTCCAATGATGTCTAAGAGAGTATTTTGTCATTTGAAAGGTTTATTATTGCATCATGAAGCTTTCACCACTGTGGCCTTTTTCTATCCACCTCATAGATTGTTTTCCAGACTTTGCACCGTATTATGATTTCTCATTATAAATGGCATGAATATGTGGCATTTTAATTTAGAAATCTGATTAAAAAATGTCAGATAAATGTGTTTTCTTAACTCTTACCACACAGTGTCTTAACAACTTTCATACAGTATTTATAAATCTTCTTCTTTGTTTGGTTTTGAAGCAAAGACAAATCAAGCTGCTCGTAGATTTACATGTTTTAGATCAGAAAAAAACGGATTTATCGCTTCAGCTGTAATAATTAGAGCCTGTAAAGACTCTATCAGTCAGAGGGACGCTGTATATCTCACTAAATGTCTTACTGCCTTCATGAATTTCCCTTTTTGACAAACCTCGTGTCTGAACTGATAATAAAACCGTTCAGTGTGTGAACTGTCGCCAGGCTGCTTTTTGTCCCACGTTCGCTCTGATTTTTCTTTTCTTTTTTACGAAATGAATCAGTTAACGTGCAAATAATGGAAACTACAATCAACAGTGTGTGACTTACATACTGGATGGTGTTTGAGGAAAGGTTAATAACGGCAGTACAGTTATGTTAAAATGCGTCAACTGTAAATTGCAGACAGATGAATTAGTAATGCGTATTTTACATTTTTATGATCCAGAATTGAGATCAACCGACTCTGTTTGACATTTAAAAATGCATTAAAAAAGGAAGGATTATGAAGAAGACAATTTAAATTCTTATGAGTCAGGAACATTTATGCGACGGAATCAGCGTGTGACAGTTTGTAGTTGATTAACTATGTTTTACAAACCAATAAAACTATTTAAGTTAATGGGGGAAAAAAAAGTAATAAATGTGAAGTTCTCATTTATTTTATGGTCTAAACTGCTAACTGTCAATTTATTGCAGTTTTTGGCTCCAAAAAAAGCATCAAATTTGACAGTTTTTAGTTGTGTTTTTGCTAAAAATAGAGAATCGCTGTTAGGATTTCAAAAGGCATCTGTTGAATGTAGATGATGCACCGATTAACTGTGGCTCTGTATTTTCAGTTTGCACAAAGTAGAAGTGAACTGAATGAAGAATTAACGGGGAAATAACGTGACGTCATAGATTTCTTGCAGGACTCTGTGTTAAACTGCAGCTTGTGTGAGTTAAGGAGCTCCGTCAGACCAGTTTTAAAAGATAATAAATAAATAAATAAATGCAATAAAACAATACAAACACCTTTTTTGTGTTCTGACTTTAGGTTTAATTTAAATCCACTAAAATAAAACCTAGAAGAAAAAAGGAGGCCCAAGACCATTAGGAGTTTTATAAACCAATAAATGATCTTAAAATCAATTTTAAACATCAAGGAACCATTGCAGAGACTTTAAAATCAATGTAATGTGAGTTCTCTTTCTGTAGCTGAATTGGAAATCTTCTAGAGAGATCTGATAGGAGAGCATTACAATAATCAATCCTGCAATAAAAGCATGCATTAGTGTCTGCATTCATTTTTACAGAGGACTGATATGTTTTTTAAATAATAAAAAGCCATCTTAGTTACAGTTGTCCTCAAATGTATTCATATCCTCCCATTTTTTACATTTTTTTTTCTAGTTATTAGAGTGATTTTTGCCTTTTCTTTAATGGACGGGTATGAATACATTTGACGATTTCTAACTTGTCTACGTGGTTTTAATTGTGAATTCATCTTGTCTCTTTGAGATTCAGTTTCAATGAGCAGGACCTCAGTTTTGTCCCGAAAACTTCTTCACCGTCCCTGATTTAATGTCTGAAGTACAGTTTAAAGGGCCTCGTTTGGTGACGAGGAGACACGGTGATGTACAGCCGAGTGTCGTCAGCGTAACTGTGGAAACCGATGCCTCCTGGTGACGTTTCGAAGCGGCGCCGTGCGCAGATCGAAAAGATGGAAGTTAGTTAATGACATATTTACCAGAAGCATCACTGTAAATGACTTCGCTAACAAACGCCCGCTTCTGTGGCGTTTTATTTTTAACTCGTGCGATGAATGAGCATTTATGTAATTCTTACACACTTTTCCCCAGATGCAGCTAATCGGAGCTAATCGTGAATTAGCGACTGAGCGTGTCACATGTCAGGGTGAGAAGGATGCGTCGCAGTTAATCGGAGCTAAAAAAACGCAGTGTGGGGCTTTGGGAGGGGGCGGCAGCGACTCGGCGCCAACACCTCCAGCGCCCCGGATCAAAGACTCGGCAGCTGGCAGGGCCGCAGAAGTCCAGGCTTCGCTACGATCGACGCTCATCCGAACCCAGCTCGGAAAAATAGGAGCTGTCATCTTTATTTCATCAGTCAAAATCACTCGCAAGACGTGAAATTTCCATTTTGGAGCTCACAGCGGTGGTGACATTTCATTCATCCTTCAGCCGTCAGGTCCCTAATGGAGGATGTATTATCTGGATGTATATTATTGGTGACTCACGCAAGGATTTGTGTCTTCCACAAAAGGCAAAAGGAAGAGAGATGAATTAATCATGAGTGAACCAATGAATCCTCTACAACAATTTTTACAGCCATCAAGGCCACTGTGATCACTATAAATAAGGAGGATGAAGCCTCGGGGTTTAAGAAATTGGATTAAAGTGTTTACTTTTGCCACAAAATTCCTCTGTGGATGCGAGGAGAGGGATGGAGTCGCGGGGAGGGGGGGGGAGGGCTGATATACGTCATAAGCTTTTAGCAGGAAATCGGTGCCGAAGAGCAAAACCCAATCACAAACGCGTGTGTGATTTAAAAGCCAATTAAAGACAGGAATCAGGATTCGCTCGGTGCTGCAGAATAAAGGGCAACAAAACACAGGTGCCGGCGTCGAGGTGTTTTCTCCTGACAAGGAGGAAATGGCCCAGCTTTGGTCTCCGTTCACTATTTATTACAGCAGAGTTTCTCAGAGGCTCCACAGGAGGGATTTGGTGTTTGAGTGTAATTGTGTTAGAGGCCTCCCACATGCCGTCCCCGGTGCATCTTCTGTCTCCTCTGCTAATCTGTGCTGTTTGTCTCCAGATAAGTGATATCCTCCTCAGATTAGGATCCGGTGTCCCTGCTCTGGCCAGCCGGAGGGAAAGGGATCCCCGGTGCATCCCCATGAGGTGCGAGCTGTATTTTTAGCCGCCTAATCCTTTTATAGCCCGAGCACAAAGCATCGCCCTGTTTTGTTTTTTTTTCCCGCCCTAATCGGTCCAGGTAACGAGTGCACACACAGGAAGCGCTTCGTCTTCTTTAAACGTTTTTTTTTTTTTTGCAGGTTTGACAGGAATTTTTCTCTCTAAGCTGTGATTTGTAGAACTTAATTTATAGCCTGTCCAGAGATCATCAAATCTCACTTTCACAACGTTTTAAATTCATGTCTTCCGTCCGTGATTTCCTAATGTTCTCCCTCTGAAGCCAAACTTTCCAGAATAACGCACGACTGGTCTGCAGAGACTCGCTGTCGTGAGAAACCGAGCTGTTGTAATCTTTGGCTCAAGCGTATGTTTTTTTCTCTTCAGACCCGACTTTATCGGCGTCCCCGTGTGCTCGGCTCGATATTTATTTCGCTGCACAAATAAAAACGGCAGACGATCAAGCGTCACCGTCCTCCGTCCCTTCAGGCGCAAATCTGGATGATGCACGACGAGACGGTCGAGGCCTTTTTGTTGGTTCAGGACTTTACTGCACTCGGTTACTGTAAAGGTTTAAAGTCCCTCCACAGATACACAACGAGCTTCTTAATATCCTTAAATTCTCATGAACACTGTTTGCTGTTTTACATTTGTGAAGGGAACACCTCTTGGGGAGAGTCACGTTGAACACTGTGTTTGCTGCGTATCTGATTTTAGACTCGCTTGTGTCTACAGCGATCTACAAAGAAGCTCTGGAGTGCTTGTCATCTCTGAATCTTCTTTAAAAAGCCTTGCACATGTGATAGCCTTATTGGAGTTTTCTGATCTTATCCAAACCGCATTTGGTTCTCTTAAGCCGCTGCTGAGTTCTCGGTTCCACGATGCACTGCAGCGGTGACAGAACAATCTGCCAGAAGTGTCGCAACGAAGTTTGCGGTCGACGCAACATCTGCTCGGTGAAACGAGGAGACAACATCAAGCAGAGGTGCCGAAATCTGGAGATGCTGGAGCCAGGAGCGGATGAAAAACGGTTCCCACGGCAGCGAGGGGATATAACCCGTCTCATCCGCTTCTTTTTGTGCATCTAAACGTCTAACCGACTGCGTTTTTCTCCTGGATCGTCATTAAAGGACCACAATCGCTGCCGCTTGAATAATAGCAAAATGTGCTGTGCTTCAATATTCTTTATTGTTCAATACTTGCAGTGCATCATCACCACTGTTGTTATTCCACATGTTCTCATTGTCAGCAATCACTCAAGTGCCAAATAAAATGTAATGAAGACAATGACGGCGCGTAATATCAGCATAATAGTGGAGGAGGAGGAATTCATATGTAAGGAGGAGAGAAAAACACAAAAACAAAGCCTCCTCTCCGTCGTATAGAACTTTTATAACCAAAATAATCGGATTTTCGAATGAACTGTGAAATTATTATATACATACCCTTTCAATAAATAGGTGCATTTAATATTAAATTAATATTTCCTTACAAATATATGGTACATACAAGTACAGTGAGATAAAAAGCAAAAAAAATAAATCCGCTCAACAGCGACCAACAAATGTCCGTGTGTGTCTTTCCAGAAATAAAACAGAAACGCTATGAACACAACAATGTTCTCACGACTGCTGTGGGTTTGAAGGCACTTTCTTGGCAACGCTTTGATCCCTCTTCTGTTATGTTAAGGGCCTGGAATGAAAAATGGCAAAACATTAAAAAAAAAAAGGAGTTAAACATCTTCAGTCTTTTTCTTAGAATAAAAAACAGCTTCGTCAGAGTCCCCCCCACCTCTGTCCAGCAATGACGAACTAATGAATCACTTAACGCACCTCGTGATATACGTTTGTCAGGTTTCTCGGCGCCACGACAGGTTCTCATCATCTCATCGTTCGCTGGAGAAACTGAATACGTTTCATAATCGCCACGAGTTCTACACCTTGGTGGAGTCAAATGGACAGAAGTGACCTCCTGCGCAGACGAACCGTCCGGATGTGACTAATTGCGTTCGCTGCGAACACATTCTTTTAGCCGCTGTCGTTACGGTTCACCTTAACAAAGACTACGTCCAGAATTACCCCTCTGACGATCATCCTCCTTTTGTCCTGAGAGTCGTCGCGGTTTATTGTCTTTAAGATAAAAAAAAAGTGCAGACAGTGGAAGAGTTTCTGACAATAACTCGGAGTCTGTACGTCATTTATCAACGTTCAGGATTTAAAAAATTACCTTTTCAGTTGGTTTTGTGAGTTTCTTTAAGGGAAGGAGCGATTATTGTCTCTGATATTTGGCATTTTTCAGATAATCTGTGTTTTTATTGACTGATTTTTGATAAATTAAATGTGTCAGGGCTGATCTCTCTGTCTGTTGTTAATCTGTGGTCTCAGAAATGTCTCTCTGAAATTAAACTGAACCAGAAACTCAAACCAGGAAATCAGCTCCTCTCACAGTGGCTACGCTAATGGTTAGCGGCTAACGGCTAGCGGCTAGGTTAGCAGGCCGCCACAGATTCACCAGAAACAAGAGTCTTCAAAACAATAATTAATAATGCTTCAAGATTTGGACCTTTGTGAGCAATAAAAGTGGCAGAACAGTGAAAAATTGAGAAAACAGAAGAAACAAACTGATAAATGAGGGAATTGGTGCCAAACCACATTTACTAGTTTCAGAGAAATATGGGGTCAAAATTTTGTGTTGCTAGAAAACAATCCTGGTTGTTGGAGGAGTCATTATCCAAAGAAGTTTCGACACTGTCCAGAGATAGAAACAGCTGCTTTGTAATGACTTGTTTAAGTTTTAATTTCTTTTTGCTGAGGGCCAAAGTGGACCGTGACACATTTTATACTTTTTGAGAAAAACTCCAGGTTTGTCTTGTTAAACATTGAAGAGTTTACATCATCAGGAACTAGAGATGCTTCTGAGGACCGTGGGGTAGAAATAGATGCTTGGTGGGGGTTAATTTTGTGTTAATTTTTACCTTACTGTACCTACAAGTTGAGTTTTAACGGGGCTTGAGGTGTCCGCCATCTTGAATCGCAAACATGTGCGACTACCGGTAACATAACGGTCAGTCATTCCTGTGGCTTGGCCCAGTGTGCCACGACATTTTCTTGCCAAAACCATTATGGACCAAACTTCAAAGTGGTATTGTGACATTACTAGTGGGCTGTTGGTTGGACCACTTTGCCATGAACTAGTCGACCATAAACACTTATCCAAAAAAACCCCATAAAACTCAACTTATTTGTGGTTTGGTCCATTTTGGCACCGAACCCCCTCACATCTCAGGCAAAGCCGCAAAAACAGAGGAGATAATTTAATCCCTCCTGGTTCTATTTTACATATTAAGTTATAGCCGCCCTTATTGATAAAGAAATCGAGTTATGATCAACAGGTTCTCTGCTATTAAAACAGAACATTTAATGTATGTCGGTCCCAAATGTTGGCACCAGTATCGGCCCTAAAATAACAACATGTAGGTCGATCCCTTGCGTTTTTGCATCAAAATTGCATTAAAGTAATCGAACAGCACCGGGAAGCCGATCACCCGACTAATTCCTTTTTAAAAACCCTCCTTCGTAGCCAGAGAACTTGTACGTTCACACCGACGCATCCACGCGTTGTTCTAGCAGCAGGACTCTGGATCGAACTCTCCACATTTCACTCGTCAAGATCGAATTCCACGTAACTTCCACGCGATTTCCAAGAAACAAGGGTGTTAAATGCGCTCCTTTATCTTCTCTCTGAGCCTTTGCTGCTCGTGACGAAACCGGCTTGTGGTGAAAACGCAACCGTAGCTTTACAGTTAATGAAGATTAATATATAATACTTATGAGCCTCCTGTGGAATCGTTTCAGCCCGGTCGAGATAAATCGCTTTCTCAAAATATACAAATGTTAGACAGATGTACTCGAGATGTGTTTCTAATTAGGAGTTTTCCTCAGACACACAATAGATTAAATCTGACAAAGAGCAACAAAGGCATTCTTTTTTTTTTTTTATCCAACCATGGAACAAAAAATGTAGAATCTGCATCTGTGTAATGTGTTGATCTTGACTATCATTGCACTGACAGCAGGGGGAATGTCACCGAGGAGAAGGAAGCACGTTTACTTACATGCAGCATCTACGATTGCATGCAGAGTGGACTCATCGCTAACCGCGTTAGCAATCTCGCACATCTTTTGTAATCTGAAAGGAAAAAAAAAACAAAGCGGGATAAAGGTCAGTTTGTCTCTCTGAACCGTGTAAACTCTTAAAGATTCACTTCTTCTGCAAACTTGCGATGTAGAAATTGCTTTTAAATAACTTAAAATTCTCATGCACTGCTGCTCTCAGAGTATGCACACAGCCCCGAGAACGCCAATCAGAGTGCGAGAGGAAGCGTTAATGTGGAGATAAAGCCGGGCTGATGTCACTGCGACGTGCTAATTCTCTGAGCGATTTAAAGTTGCAATGATCCTTTAAAAGAGCAGCTCTGTGTGTGTTCAGAAATCGGCGTCTGTACAATTAGCGCGACAAATGAAGCGTAGCTACGATTCTGCGTCATCTGGGTCTGGCAAGATGAACGTGTCCCGTATGTGACCCAGTTGTCAGGGCTGCTTCTCTCCGTCCACCGAGTCTGCTCGTGTGGCTTCAGCTGAAGTGCAGACTTTAAATCACAGGAGGGCAGTTTCTCCCACTTAACGCTCGCTTAAGTGCCTCACAAACGCACCACAAAAAAAGACTGATATTGATGACCGTGGTAATTTGCCGCCTGCCGTCATGACGTGACGCTGCTTGACGACAGCTTCTTAATTTCCAATTTTTCAACGTCCCATATTAAAGAATCGATCCTTCAGCGTGACAACCGGCTGCCGCTGTGTTCGCTTCTGTTTCCGACCAGAGCTTTGAGATGCACGAGGTTACAGGGACGAATCTGAGCAGCTGGAAGTATATTAACACGAGAAAATAGACATATTCAGCCACATAAATCCAAGTTTTTAATCACAGCGTTCCTAAACAGTTTTCATTTTCTGTAGATTTTTCAGTTTAATAATGTAAATAAATGGGATTAAAATCCAAATTTTAGCATATTTAGTACTATATTGTGTCACTAAAAACATGACCTACAGCTCAACATCTTTATCTCGGCTCAAAGAGAAATGAAATGAATGAAATGAAATGAAAAATACTTTATTAATCAGAATTAATATATTAGAATTAATAATAATGATTAATAATTAATAATTAGAACCACCGATACCTACAATCACATCATTTTCCCATCATTTATTAAACTAATAATATTATATCAGAGCTTTTTTGGGTCTCTTCTACAAATAACAACCACAAATGATCTGATGAAGTTACAGAATCTTAATTCCGGCCTTGTTTATTCGCCGTTTCCATGGAAACGATGACAGATAACTCATAAAGGCGTGGCATCCTTCAGCAGAACCGATCGTCGGTCCACGTTTCTAATAACTGCTGCGCGCCTCGTATATGATCTGACAAGATTCATATTCATCCGTAACGCTGTGTTCATATGAGATATTGCAGCGCTTTGTTTTTTTTTCAAGTTGATTCAATCGCGGGTTTTGTTGCCGGGTCGAGCTGCTCTTTGTTTTTCTTTGGGTTTTTTTTACAGCCCAGCTCTGACCTGCGTCTCTCACGCACTCATAAACGTTCTGACTGCACCAAACTCTATAAAGCTACAATTAATGAACAGAATGGAGGCAACGATCTGGCAACACAGATATTTCTTCCGTAGCGCTTTTCTTTTTTTCAGTTCATCCATATCGTGGAATCCTCTTAAACCAAAAAAACTGGACAGTTTTACATCTTTATTATTCTGAGAATTGCTTAAATTACACCGAACTGGGAAAAGCAGCAGAACCCTTGTAAATTACAGACACATGTACGCAGTTCTTTACAAATTTAAAAAGCTTTTGTGGGTCTTCTGCGGAAAGGCTGCAAACCACTGCTCCACATAACTACTGTCAAACATTTATGTTCACTTGCAGGAAGCAATTATGTGGTTTAAAAGGGCATCAGTTTGTCAAATCCTGCGTAGGATTAGAATATGCCTTGTTTACGTTCACTAAAAATCCTTGATGTTTTATTGTGGAACGCTATTAATCTGGGAATAATCTAAGAAAATTTAAAGTATCCCTGACTAAATACGCAACAAAGAAAGCTAAAGTTTGCTGGTGAAAATAGATTTTTTTAAAGAGAAAGTAGCAAATAATAAGGGATCAATAAAGATTTATTCTTTTATTCTAATTCTAAATCACCAGCTGCCAAAAAGAAGCTGATTCAGATGTTATTAAATCATGTCCGCGAGGAGCACAATACTTCTTTTTCTTTTAGTTTAACAATCTCTATACTGGCTGTTTTTTCTTCTACTTTATTGTTTTTATTATGATGTCTTGATCCTGCACAGACTTTTGGAACAGTCGCTTTGGATTTTACTGCTTGTGCTGTAGGAGAGTCTGACAAATAAAAGGTCTTGAATCTTGAAAATTCTCAATTGAAATGATGAATATCGTTCATATTTCGGCAAATATTTCGTAGAAGCCACACCTGTTGCAGTGAGAAACCAGCTGCAACTAAAACAGGTTTTCGGGGCCTTTAAAGCCAAACCTGATAACGTTTTTGCACTTTAAGAGGTAATTAGACATCAGAGCTGAATTCCTCGTATGCCAATGACGCTGATTCAGATTCATCAGACGCTGAGCACATTATAAAAAAAAACAGCAGAAAGTCATACATACATGCTGGTCTTGAGCAGTCCCTTGTGTTGTGATAAAGTCTATGAAAGTGTGTTTTGCACTCCGACGAGAACTTGACTTGTCCTGCTTAAAAAGAAAAGGTCTCATCAGGCAAAGTGAACAGAAAAAAACATCCTCTTTATCCAACTTTCTAACAAGCACATCTGCTCCTACAGTTAATCTGTGAGTATTTAAACCCAAAAAGAAAAAGGGATAACGAAGTGAAAGTGAACCCAGACATGGTTAAGGAGTCAGGGTTCAACTGGACTTAGTCTGCAGGCGAATTGAGTCGTCGATTATAATCACCTCTGAGAGTTTCTGCGCCCACATTAAAGCTTCCAGATTTTAACACCAATAATGAAGTCTACTCACAGGTCCTGAGACAAATAATCAGCTTAACCTGCCTTCAACTTAATTCTGTCGGCTTCAGACCATGTGCCATTTCTCTGCACTGTTACCCAGCAGCTAAGCCAGGAAACCCTCGGCTGACCCACAGCAGCGCCACTGTTCACACACACAGTGACTTAGGCATACTGTACGCTGGCTTACGGGAATGTAAGACAAAGAATTTCCAGTCATTCGGTGCAAAAGTTGGTGCAATGTCTGGAAAGGACCACAGAGAAGATGGCAATTTTCTTACCTCCGAAATGCTGAATGAATTTGTCTTTCATGTTTGCATCTCTAGGAACAATTTCTGCAAAAAGAAAACCACCGTTAGCTCGTCAGTAAACATGTAATTCTACGAGTATGTTGCACTGTAATGTACGAACAATTAAAAGTTTAACACGAGGATCATCAAATTATTTCTCCTGGCCTCAGTTACACAAACACAAATGCAACCTTCAGCTCTCAGCAGTGACCTGGTTCACATTTTTGGGGGCGTTTGGTGTTCAGAGTTCACGGCGTGCAGACATGCAGGGGTCTGACAACACACCGGACATGCTAACAGGCTAAAGGGATTATTGTATGGGAGTGTAATGCTCATCAGAATAAGTCTGTGTAAGTAGAACAGAACATGAGACCCCAGCAAACTGTAACAGCCGGATTTGTTTGTGTGCAGGAAGCCAAAAAGAAAAGCATTTAAAAGCATAAACACATTTATGCAGATGTGCAGTGCGAGAATGGCGTCACGCGGATGGAATCCTTCGCACTGAAACCGATTGTTTTGTCTTGTTTCACCACAGCTGCCACAACTATAGGCCGAGACCCGTCCTCCTCGTTGTGCTCAAAACATCTATCCTTGCGTGACCATAGATCTTTGGTAGTGTCACACGCACCAGTTGCTAATATGCAGCTTTTAATATCCTCAAAAGATAAATTCCACCCAGCCAGTGGTCTGAGAAAAGTACTTTTCCAATTGCATAAGCTGGACCGGAGACTTTGAGCTGTAGGAAGAGCGAGCAACGTCTCTGCACCGCCGTCTAACCGATTGTGACAGCAGGGAATCTGAAATTTGCAGCTAAACAACATATTGTGCAAACGCCCACAGAACACGCTGATGAGGCACAAAGCTTCCCCTCCAGTTCACTTTAATTCAAGTTCGATTATTTTTGATTGATGCAGCAATAAAAAAAATAAATTTGTTACCGTGCATAAAAAGGATTTTTGGACACGTTTTCTTTGTCACATCTGGATTTGAGTGAAGTTTTTATTTTTTTATTTTTTTTTATTTATTTTTTTTATCACAGGCAGCTGAGAAGAAAGCTGGAGTGAAACAGCTTAATTCCAGTCCAGACATCATGCCAATAAATCTAAGCCCCACCTAACACTTTCTCACTGGTCTCAGACAAATTAGTAACACGCTCTGGATGTTTGTTTGCTTTGTTTTTTTTTGTACAGAAACTAATGTTTACAGCCTCCCCATAAAGACTCTACAGTCCAGCCAAAGTCATGTTGTTCCTGTCACAGTGTGTTCCTCTGTCTGATAAGTCTTGTGGAGATACATGTGAGTCCATTCCGGGACGCCAGCGTCTGTGTGTGTGATGGCCGTCATTCATGTTAAAGATTTTCAGAATGAATCACACTGAATGAATCATTCATAAGTCTGGCACGGCGACGCTCCTCCTACATGAAGCCACAGCACAGATCCACGTCTGCATCCGTCCGTCAATCACAGTTTTAACGACGGAGCTGACGAAGTTCAATACATGTGGTTTAACCTTTTTCCTGCACGTTACATGCATTATACAACCACTTTAAACAGACGGATTTGGACCCTGCACCCTCATCAAAATGTGTAAAACAGCCAAAATGTACACACATTTCTTGATGAAAACAACAACTTCCACTCAGCCAAACTCACTCAAGCCCCTAAATAAGATGTTCGGCACCGAGCAGACCGATGACAGCTGTCTCCAACCGCAAAATGAGGATTATGCTTTCATCATCAGGACCTAAAAATAAATCTTATCAGCTTACCTATGAGTCTACTGTTATCCAGCCTAGGGGCATAGAAAGGCTTTTCGCGGGAGGAGAACTTCATGTCTTGGGCTGAGCTGAAGAGTCCACTGCTGCAGCGCTTGGAGACGGGTTTGTCCCGCTGCTGGCTGTCTCTGATAACCTGCAAGATTAGATCCAACAGGGTCCTTCTCTCTTTCTGCTTGACCTCCTTGCTGTCCATGCACTGACCCGAGGTGACGAGCAGAAAGAAGATAGTCAACAGTATGTGCCATTTCCTCTCCACCTGCATGACTTCACTGTCTGAAAGCACAAAATAAGTTCAGTAACAGAGGGGTTACAGGCTTTCTGTGAAGTCAAACTAATATAAAAAAGCAGAACTGTACACTTTGCTCCATGCAAACAGAAGCAGCACCACCTGAGATTCTGCACAATAGCAAAATTACTCAAAAATCCAAAGTTAAAGGCAACAAAAAGCACCTCTAAAAGTGGAATAAATCACCAGAAACAGCCCAGCGTTTCTTCTACTTCAACACAAATGTGCTTAATCTAACTTTACACTTACTAGTTTGGGAGTTAAAGATGCTTATGTCCTGCACAGTGGACACAGTTGTCTTCAGTAAATTCTTCCAGGCGTCGATGAAATAGAGAGAAAGAACGAACGAGAGAGAGAGAGCGAGAGAGAGAGAGAGAGAACAGTCCGCAGATTGTGCTCACTTGCGTCTTTCTTGAAATAATGCGTTCCTATTTATACGAGGAGCCACCTTCTTGAAGGTAATACAATCGATTTCGAGTGGGTGGTAAAGCAATGTTGACATCTTTGGTGGAATTTCCTCCAGTGGCACTCGGTCACTCCGTCGTGCGCCACTCCTTTACGCACCGACACATGACCAGTTCTAGTTTTTAAACACCATTCAGCTCCAGATAAAAACGACCCTTTTACGCACAGAGAAGCTGGTTAAGATCTAAAAAAGGAGCCTCGGTGAGATTTCCATTAAAAAAACAAGAAGAAGAAGAAAAAAGAAAAGAAAAAAAACACGCGACAGAAGCGATGGCACCGCAGCGCGCACGTAGTTCCCCAAAAGGAGCAACTTGTTGGATGTCGGATGCGGAGAAGGGAAGAATCTGAGGGCCTGTAAGCTTCTAGCTGACCTGTCAGCGTCTCGATGTTTTTGCTCACCGATGCCCGAGTCTTGTGACCGCCTAAGCGCTGCAGAGAATGCGCCTCCAGGAGCAGCCATCCGACTGTTTCCCCGCAATCTGAGCGCAGATCTACAAGTGAGCTTTAAAGAAATGCGCAATTGGAGGGACGTTGCATTTCACATGCATTTCGCAGAGAGTTAGTGGACTGCTGGCTCAGCTCTTTGCATTCTGCGCTCCCACCCCCTCAGCGTTTAGGCCAATTAATGCAACAAGTCTTTCATATGTGGTTTTTTTTCAGGGCTGCAGCTCCGTTTATTTCAGCACAGAGGAAGCCCGTTTTACACTTTCACACGCATGTCATTGTATTATAAACACAGTAGGTTATATTCAAAGAAACACCACAGACTGAACATGAAGATCTTGGTGAAGAAACTTTCGCAGGTGTCCACAAGACGTCACTCAGCGGTGACTCAGCTGTTGCGTAAAGAGCTGACGTGGCTCCAACAAGATGTTTAGGCCTCTGTGACCAAAAGTGCACATTTCACCGAACATTACTAAATAGTTTGTGAAAGTAAGTGGAAAAAAACAAGGTTGAATTATTATCATTATGATTATGATTATTATTGTTATTATTAGTGGTTTCTATTTCAGAAAAGTGTAGAAGAATCGCCTGATCATTGTTCACACTGAATTATGGGTAATAAAAACTGGTGTTACTTCAGGTGTTGTGTGTTTTTCTTACCTGCATGCACCTGATGTCTTTATTACACCTTAGTTTACCTGCCTGATGGTTTCCGTGGATTCAGCCGAAAAACTGTTGAAAGAGCTGCTCTCAAGTTTGATCAACTTTAGCTCACCGTAGTTTAGTTTTACGCTCAGTAACCTGTCTTTTAAAAAAACAAGGAACACTTTTAGTCTCTCCAGAGGCTGAAAGATGTCACCAAGGTAAGTTTTCCAACACCTTTCTTGTCAGCAGCTAACGCTAAAGCTAAGCTACAGCTAAGCTTTACTGCTCGAATGCAGTATAGTAGTTACAGCTGCAATTTAGAAAATGTTAACTTGGCACAAAAAAGTATGTTAAGGAATAAACGAGGTATTAAAAGTCAGTTTTAAATGATATAACTGGGTGAAATTTTTAAATACCGGAGGATCCATAAGCTCAGATGCTAGTGGTTATGCTAACAGGCGTTTGTCTGGAGGAGAGAAGTAAATGTTCAAAACTGTGATTAAACATATATGTAAATTATATGTTCATTGCCACAAGAATAACAAGTCGTTTGTATGTAAAAGCAGAAACATGATCAGTTGGTCGAAACGTTCAGCAAAAGTTCACATACAGATGGAGAAATGTACAGTTTGACTGCTGAGCTACATGCTAATCAGGTATGCTAATTAGGCTAGCGGCCCACACATTGAGCTAAACTATATGACCATGGGCTCATGATTAAATGTATATATTTTCACCTTTGTTTAGTTTTATGCCCAGTAACCTGTTTGTTAACTTGATAAGAAATACTTTTAGTCTCTCTGGAGGCTGAAAAATGTCATAAAGGTAAGCTTACCAAACACCTTTCTTGTCATCAGCTAAAGCTAATGCTAAGCGGACGTGCTGTGTGAACTGAAAGTAGACTTGAAAGCAGCACAGTTGCAGTTTGGAAATGTTAAATTGACACAAAAAGCATGTAAAGGATTAAATGAGATATTAAAAGTCAGTTTTACAGTTTTCAGTGATATAACTGGGCGAAATTTTCATCAATCGGTTGAAACATTCAGCAAAAGCTGACATACAGCTGGAGAAAAGCTCAGTTTGACTGATGAGCTACATGCTAGCCACGTATGCTAGTGAGGCTAGCAGCCAGTACACAGAGTTCATTAAAGTATAAGAACATGGGTTAATGATTAAACGTGTATATTTTTACCTTAGTTTAGTTTTATACTCAATAGCCTATTTGTTAACTTGATAAGAAACACCTTTGATCTCTCTGGAGGCTGAAAAATGTTGCAAAGGTAAGTTTTCCAAACACCTTTCTTGTCAGCAGCTAAAGCTAAAGCTAACGCTAAAGCTAAGTGGACCTGCTGTGCGAACTTGAAGTAAACTTGACAGCAGCACAATTGCAGTTAGGGAATGTTAAATTGGCACAAAAAGCATGTTAAGGATTGAATGATGTATTGAAAGTCAGTTTTAAATTATTTAACTGGCAAAATTTTCACCAATTTGTCAAAACATTCAGCTAAAGTTTGCACCCAAACGGAGAAAGTTTGACTGATGAGCTACATGCTAACCAACTATTCAGACTAGCAGCCTGTACACAGCCTTTATTAATTTATAGAAACATGGATTAATGATTAAAAGTAAATATTTTCCAGCCGTTTAGAATTTCAGTTTTAATTTCAGAGCACAGAGCTGCAGGGATTAAGTGATTTTAGGGGCTGCCAACAAACTCTGTCTTACTTGATTCTCACCCGTTTTCTAACTGAAAGTTTGTCGTTAGTGGTAGAAAAAGAGAAATCTTTGATCTACAATTATCCCACAGTAACTAGACTGTCAGACTGCATTCATTTTATACTTAAAGGTAAAGAGTGAAAGAGTTTTTAATCAGTTAATGTTCTGATATTTACTTAACAATATCAACAATTTCCCTGAGGTTCATACCAAAGGGATCAATAAAGTTGTATCAATAAAGTTGTATTTACTTAATTATTGTTCAAGGTGAAGCTTTTAATTGTGACATAATACTGGAGGGTAAAGTGATTTGCTCAGATTTATCACATCATAGTATATAATTGTGGAGTGCTGCTTGAGAATGTCAATTTATATACAGGACATATTACATAATTCCCCATGTCTGGGATAAATAAAGTATTTCTGTTCTATTGTATGAGAAAATAAAGCAATCGTAAGTCTGTTCTTAATTCATTTTGTTTCTTTCTATGAAAAAAAGGAAAAAAAACTAATTAAAACAATCTTAAATCTGTTCTTAATTCATTTAGTTTCTTTCTCTGGAAAAAAAAAAGACTCAAAACGCAGGTTGAATAATTATTTTAACCTCATCCAATAAGTTTAAACTTTGCTGTGCACAAGTTCAGTCACCTTACAATAAAATAGTCAACAGTATCATGTATCAGAAAACCACCGCAGACAGATCTGATTTCGTTTTACATTTCCATGATTTAAGAGAGCGTTCTTTATTTGACATACAACAAGCTGCGAGTGTTGAAACCTTTAATGCCAAAGACAGCATGTGTGGCTGCTTCCAGTTTCTTTGCTTTAAAGTAAGTGTACAGGGGGGACGGACCAATGTTCCACATGGTTTGCACTGTTTTCATTGTTATGTAGAGAAGCAACCAGGTTTTAATAAACCACAGCAGGTTTTCATTACGATGGGGTTCTTGAAGCTGCACGAGGAGTCCGAGGAGAGCTTTAACTGCTGAACGACGATGGTGTCTGCAAGCAGGCTGGTTTAAAACGGAGTTGATTCAACTCATTATGTCCAGACCGCAGATCAGACAAGACAGCTCTAAAATGACCTGAACATCAAATAAACCGGGTTGGTTACATTGAAATAACTTGACATAGCATCCCTATTTGCATAAAGTTAACATGAAAAGACGAGTTATTCATGTTTTTCAGTGTTAATCCGTTTAATCCTCATGCTCATTTTTGGTTTAACTTTCACTTTCTAAAAGTGTTGTTTTGGCTTTGGCCAGCTAATGCAAGTTTTTAAATTAAAACATAGGTTGTCTCCTCTGAACAATATCAATGTCATGTGACTAGTGTGAATGGTCACATGACGAGGCCTCTTTACTTCCTGCCGGCACCGCTGCAAAGAGACGTCTGCCTCAAACTGGTATAAAATCCCTTAATTAACAGATATAACGGAAATATTTTGTGCATATATTCTTTAAAGGGTCTACTACTGATATATAATGAAATTTGTATGCCAGCATGCATCTTTTGATGACAAGAAAAGTAAACATAAGCATAACACATAGTCGTAGTGTTATAGTGCTAGGTGTCAAAGGTTTTGGCTGTTTATCCGATGTTTTTTTTCTACACAGCTTAAAACTATCAGAGGTTTTGGATCTTCTAGACTTAAAAGAACCCCAAAGTGCTTCATCACAGTCATTCCCACAGTTGAGAAAGTTGAAATTGAAAGTGACTGTGATAGTGACTGTTCAGATAGAGTACCAAGGTGAAACAGGCCATTTGCCTGCTAGACGGCTAAATGGTGAAGCAGAGGTGACCTATCAGGAGGATGAGGACGGTGTTAACCTGATAAGTCCAGACCTACCCCCAGACCCCACAACTGCCCCACTCCCTCACCTCCCACTCCTGCAGCATTTGGTATTGAAGAAAACCAATTGCTGCTACTTGGTGAGTCACCCACAGTGTCCAGCCAAAAAAAAGAGGTGCCCAGAAGAAAATGAGACCAAGAAATAAGGAGAAGTCCTGAGGACAATGAAACCCCAAAACCCCATAAAAAAATGAAAATG